GGGAATCGGGATAGGTCATTATAGGGTGAACATGGCCATGGTTTTTCCAGAAATGTCCAAGCACAGTATTAGTCAGGACAGGGTTTTAAATCTGTCAGTGACAATAGTCTGAACAAAAGTAAAACTTATTGGAAATTCATTTTAATAAGTATATACCGGTACACCAATTAACTTTCACAATGACAGTTAACTGGAATGTAGAGTAATTTAAATTTTTACTAAAATCACATGACTGTCATGACTAAAATACAAAATGTCTATAATGTAAAACCCTTCATATATAAACATGATTTTGCTTCTTGCATGTCTTGTAAAAGAATTTTACTGAGAATAATGAAACATGAAAATGACTCAGCAAATGTCATCATTAAAATTCTACGTTATAATATTATACATGTATCTCCAATTGTTGAATGAATTATTTTCTTTTGTCAGGTTGATATATTATATTTAAAATGAGGAAGTGATTTTTTCTGTTGAACATACCTTACATTGTAAATAATGTAAAACATTTATCATGTTTATGTTTATAATACAAGTTTTTTATTGTACATTTACTGCAATTTTTAATGTACATAACTGTCATTACAAGTCAAGTAAAAAAATTTGAGTGATATTACATGTAGGTATAGAACTACCACATCTCCTTATTTTTAAATAAATGTACTTATAAATATTTATATTTTACTCTTTTGTGATACAGTACTTAGTATTCAACAATGTACATATACATGTATATACATGTTTTAACAATCATCTTGCACATACATTTTCGGTAAGTACATATACATGTATATACATGTTTTAACAATCATCTTGCACATACATTTTCGGTAAGTACACATATAAACTGTTATAAAGCTGACAGTATACATCTTTGGACTCTTTTTTTAATTCAGTAATGAACATAGTTGATATACGTATTCAACATTTTAAAGAACATTTTACTTTTAACAATAACCACAATAAACCTATTTCTCGTATCAAACATAAACTAAAAGAACTAGCCAAGGAATTTGTTTTTGTCCCGGCCGATAAAGCTGCTAATAATATTATTATTGTTTGACGTAAATTTTACATTGAGGTTCTGAAAAAAGAAATCACCAATTCACCAACATTCCAACTGACTCCATTTTCAGAAAACGACATTTGTAACAAACATAAACTTTTAGCTACCGCTTTACAAGCAGAACCAAATACAATGAAAGTCCCAACTATGTATTGGCTTCCGAAGCTACACAAAACACCTTACAAATATAGATTCATTTCGTCTTCAAGCCATTGTTCCACTACTAAATTGTCTATTCTTCTTACCAGTACACTTGGTACAATCAAAAACCTGATAATAAATTGTTCAAATAAGGCCTTCGAAAATAGTGGAATTAATTACTTTTGGAGTGTCAAGAACTCGTTGGAAGTACTTGATAAATTACATGCATATATTGGTGATTTTGAATCTGTTCAAAGTTTTGATTTTTCTACCCTATATAACACATTGCCTCACATTCTCATTTAGAAAAAATTCACACACCTAATTAAATGGGCATTTAAAAAGTCAGAATGTGAATATATATGTTCAAACTCTTTTAGGTCATTTTTTAGTAGCAATAAACAAAAAAACTATGTCAATTGGACATGCTTTGATACTATATATGCCCTTGAATTTTTACTAGATAACATTTTTGTTCGCTTTGGAGATTCCGTATATCGTCAGGTTATCGGAATTCCAATGGGGACTAACTGTGCACCAGTTATTGCGGACCTTTTTTTTGTATTGCTATGAGTTACAATTTATGACAAAAATCAGCAAAGACCCATCGAAACAACATCTGATACACAAATTTAATAATACTTTTAGATATTTGGATGATATTTTGGCTCTCAATAATGACGACTTCAGTATGTATACTAAAGAAATTTATCCTGTTGAACTTACTTTAAATAAAGCTAATACTAACAATGACCACTGCCCTTTCCTCGATCTTGATATCTATATCATTAATGGAAAGCTTAATACTAAAATATATGATAAAAGAGATGATTTTTCATTTCCTATCGTTATTTATCCATTTTTAGATGGTGACGTTCCCTTGTCACCATCTTACGGTGTTTATATATCTCAACTTGTACGATTCGCTCGTGTATGTAACAATGTTTTAGATTTTAACGAGAGAAATTTATGTATTACTGAAAAATTATTACACCAGGGTTTTCGATATCACAAACTAGTCAAAACATTTACTAAATTTTATCATCGGTATAAGGACATCATTCGTAAATATAGCTCAACATGCAGACTTCTTATACGTTCAGGTATTTCACATCCAATTTTTATGGAAATATTCTTTATAAAGCACAAAAATGTCAGTATTCACCTCTGAAGCTAACAAAACCTTTAAATAGACTTATTAAGAAGGGATATAGTTACGATACTGTTGTCAGGTCATTAAAGATTGCATATTTTGGCGTTAATATTGATTCACTTATAGGGTCTTTGCATCGGCACTAAACACATTTATTTAAAAACCAGTTGTTGGCATGACACGGGTTATGTTCTTCTCATATATGTTATGATGGTATGATACTAAACCCCTAACGGGAAGGATTGTGCCTGATATTCATATGATGAAGACATAATCTTTCAATCAGTTTAATTGAAGTCTGGAGCTGGCATGTCAGTTAACTGCTAGTAGTCTGTTGTTATTTATGTATTATTGTCATTTTGTTTATTTTCTTTGGTTACATTTTCTGACATCAGACTCGGACTTCTCTTGAACTGAATTTTAATGTGCGTATTGTTATGCGTTTACTTTTCTACATTGGCTAGAGGTATAGGGGGAGGGTTGAGATCTCATAAACATGTTTAACCCCGCCGCATTTTTGCGCCTGTCCCAAGTCAGGAGCCTCTAGCCTTTGTTAGTCTTGTATTATTTTTAATTTTAGTTTCTTGTGTACAATTTGGAGTTTAGTATGGCGTTCATTATCACTGAACTAGTATATATATTTGTTTAGGGGCCAGCTGAAGGACGTCTCCGGGTGCGGGAATTTCTCGCTGCATTGAAGACCTGTTGGTGACCTTCTGCTGTTGTCTGTTCTATGGTCGGGTTGTTGTCTCTTTGACACATTCCCCATTTCCATTCTCAATTTTATGTATTATCCCTTAAATATCAAAGCCTAAATTTGGAGATATTTCTTATCTTTTTTTTGCCCCACCTAGGGGCATTATGTTTTTTGGTCTGTGGGTCTGTTTGTTCGTCCGCCCGTTCATTCGTCTGTCTGTCCTGCTTTAGGTTAAAGATTTTGGTCGCTTCAGGTTAAAGTTTTTGGTCAATATAGTTTTTGATGAAGTTGAAGTCCAATCAACTTGAAACTTAGTACACATGTTCCCTATGATATGATCTTTCTAATTTTAATGCCAAATTAGAGTTTTGATCCCAATTTCACGGTCCACTGAACATAGAAAATGATACTGTCCCGCTTCAGGTAAAAGTTTTTGGTCAAGGTAGTTTTTGATGAAGTTGAAGTCCAATCAACTTGAAATTTAGTACACATGTTCCCTATGATATGATCTTTCTAATTTTAATGCCAAATTAGAGTTTTGACCCCAATTTCACGGTCCATTGAGCATAGAAAATGATAGTGCGAGTGGGGCATCCATGTACTATGGACACATTCTTGTTCTAAATATATATTATATATATATACAAGAACTTATTTATTTGGGCCCTTTGGGGTCAAGTACATGAAACAATGTTGCCTAATGAGAAGATATGATACATGAAAGGCCAGGTTTGGTCCCTAAATTTAAAAGTCAAAAAGTAATTACTAGCATGACTAAAAGACATCCTGCAGATGTTCACTTTGATAAAGGACTTTCTGTTTTGAATTTTTCTTGGAGTTTGTCTTTTTTGTTTTTTTACTTTTGATTTGTAAATTGTAATATATATCTGATAATCAGTTGTTACATGAATTGTAGAGTATTGTCTTGTATTTTTTTTTTGATGCAGACATGCCGGTGAAACAGCAAAACTGCCAAAATATCCCCACTTTGAGCATGGGTAGACTCTAACGCTAGTCCATTAAATAAGAGCAGTAAATTTCTCGCCAGACTAGAAAAAGATTCATTTAGGCTAGCTTGATGATCATGAGGTTTGAACAGAGTGACGTTAAAAGTCATTAGTTGTATATATTCAGTTCTCTAGGACATGATTCATAATATTTCTTTTCTTTTAAACACTTCAAAGAGACATTTATTGTCGAAATAAGCATCTGGTGCAGTGAAATTGGTACTGTTCATGTTATTAATGTGTTAAAGTTGAGATCTTGTCATTCATATTTAGATGTGTGCAAAAGTGTTAACCAAATATATATATTTTGCTACAATAAATCAAAAAGACATTGAGAAAGTAAAATATCTTATGGAGTAGTTGTCTTGCTGAAAACGTTATCTAAATTGATGTTTTTAATCTTCATTTGAGGTCTGATTTACATTTACATGACCTTAAATTGTCCATGTTGACATCACACATGGAATTTCTGCTTTTAAGTAAACAGACAATATTTATGTACTGCTACATTAATATATAGAAAGAAATAAAACTTAAAAGGATTGAAGAATTTTTCTAAGTATGTTCTCAATTTAAGAGTTCAGAAATGGCTTATTTTATTTTTTTGATATCACATGTAGATTAAAGACAGTGATCTATAAAAAAAATCATGAAATAGTTAGATACTAGTAAACTTATTCATGTTATTAACTCGAATAAAGAGGGCATTCATACTTACTTTCATTTTAGTTGTATGTTTAGAATATATACAGCCGATGTCTAGATCTCCTAACAGGGTTTTCAGTGTTAATTGAATGGAGTCTGATGTTCATGTTCATGGCAAATAGAATAATACATTTCCATAGAATTTGAAAGGGAGATAATTCTGGAAACAATTGTTAATTTATTTGCTTTATATATGTTTTACTGATATATATCATATTCTATTCACAGGGTGATTCGTTGAAGTATTTTGCAGACAACTTAGAAAAAGTTGGTCACCAGGTAAGTCAACTAGGAAACATGGAAAAATAGGCAGGTTTTCTGATTACCAAAGTGAACTTACTTTTTATAGAACGTCCATTATATATGTAGGACTCTGAACTGTGATGGTACTCAGAACTGCAATGGTTTGACGGTGAAGTACGTTTTTAATCTTGCCAAAGTGAGAATCTGCGATGTGGCATTGTGACGCTTAATAGTAAAAAATAAGTGTATATGAATTTAGTAATAATAATTTGGTTGAAGTTGTGATATGTAAATAAAGAGAAAAATACAACGCAATAAAATAAAATGGAAAGAAAATAAATAACCAAAGGGTGAATATAACTTTTACTGCTTTGTGCTAGCCTACCTTCGTCGTAGGATTTCAGTTGAGGTGCTATACTAGTACACCAGAATGCTATCTGCAGGAAGACAAAACACCCCATGCTAATTCCTTATACTGGGTAATCGCTAACCAGAAAATATAATATGTGTCTTTTAACTGTAATACTGAATAATGGCTCTACTTTTTTGTTCCAAAGACCTTATAAATCTCCAATATTCAGAATTGATTTGTCTTTAAATGAACCGTATATCAAAATTCTGAGAGGCTCTTTAGTATTATTTTTACACCCTTTAGTTAATGTTTAGTTAATGTTTACATTACCTGTATGTTTCATTAGAATCCGTAATTTTGATTGGCTGTCAACAATCGTATGACAGTGTCACAATAATGCTTCACGCTTCATACAAAATGTGCTTGACTCAACTCTTTTATACCCCAATAAAATTACAAAAAGAAGCATTCAATTCTTAAAAAAAAGAATCTCTTTAAATTATCTGTAAGAGAGAGGCCAAAGATACCAGATGGACATTCAAACTCATTCAAGCTCACAAAGCCAATTTTAGAATAAGAATGGTTTTAATTTTTTTTTCCAATTTTCTTCCAAATATAGTCATTTAGAAACATGCAGTAATGGTTTTTTTTCCAACTCTTTTTTGGGTTCTTGAATTGGTTATCTCTCCTTTAAGATAATACTTTACTTGTCTTTATATCTTTAAAAAACAACAAAGTTATAGCTATTTGAATACAATCATACGTATTTTTTCCTGAATAAGACTGTTACGCTACCTTATGAATGGTTAGATTAAACTTTTGATTTTAAATAGATTTGTACAATGATTTCCTGGAAAAAGACTTTTTCCATAAGCTCATTGTTATCAATGAAATTAGAACAATAAATGTTGATTTATAACATAACTAATCTTCCTTCCTCTCTCTCTCTTTGATGAACACAGGAAACAAGGAAACAAGTACCGGTACATGTAAACAAACATGTTTATTGGTATCTCATAATTATCAACAATCTTTATACATAGGCTTGTATGAAATCTGCTGCCATTGTATTAAACATGATAAATTACACCAAGAAATAAATTCTAATGGGGAAAAGCATGCACAACACTTGCTTGAAGTGAGTGAGTGAGGAAATACTATTATCGTCTACATATATTTGACAAGGAAAGATTTTTCAAGTACTGCCCAAAAAAGATTGCTTGTGTTAAGTTATCTTTTAAGCAATATTTTCATTATGACCTTTGAGACAATGAGAGATATAACCTAACAAAACCCCTACTGATGTAGGTGATATTTCATCATAACCATGATAACGGTACTCTTAGTTTTATAATTCAGTGACTTTTGGATGGAAGGATTGCACCTATTTTATATAATATAAAGTACAACATAATACGACAAAAATTGGATTTCATGATGATATACTCAATAGGTTGTCCTACCGACAGTTCCTTGTTGGGTCGTCGGATTGCTTTTAACATACTTCCCTATTTATTTCTATTAAACCTTGTGAAGAAGAAAAACAGACACATGAACTTTTTTTTGAGATTTTTCCAAGTTGGAAACAGAATTCATATCTGTAAGTCTTATCAATATTCTGAGAAGTTGAATTATTCAGATGTTTGAAAAGCTTTATATTGACACTCATCAAACAATGGTTTATTGGAGCTATTATTCCTTCCTTAAAGGTCCCTGTCTGTATTTGAACTTTATTCTTATAAGTACTTGATATTAAAACCATATATCAAACAGGTGTTATCTAATGCATCCTTCTAAGCAAGACTAAAATCTTTTATTATAACAGTATGACAGAAAGCTCTCATACTTCATGTACTTGGTAGGATTTTTTGCCATGATGTTTAGTTGACCATATTATTCCATCATTTTGATTTGACTATTTTTATAGGAGTTATGGGACTTTTACCAAATTTTGACCATTGTACCACAATTACACTTTGTGACACACAATTTAATTTGTCATTTAAACAGTGCAGGGGACATTTCGCTATGGCATTGCAATCATGTTATATTTCTCCATAGCTGTCTTAAATCAAATACAGAACATCTTCATTTGGTTGAAAGACCCCTAGTTTTAAAGAGTTCAACCTGATAAAAGAGTCATTTAAAGACAGGTCACTCTGTTCAAGTAGTCCATTTCTATTTAAAATGACCTTTGTTTTTGTTACAGGATTATTCTCCTACTAAATTGGACATTCTACATGCAAGAAAAGCTACCAAAGGAATCACAGAACATACTATAGACATCAATGGTGTTCCATTTCTCTTTGTTGATGTAGGGGGTCAGAGGTCACAACGACAAAAATGGTACTGGTGTTTCGAAAATGTAACCTCCATTCTTTTTATAGCATCTTCAAGTGAGTATGATCAAGTGTTACTGGAGGATAGGAAGACAAATAGGCTACAAGAGTCATGTGACATATTTGAAACGATAATCAACAATAGAACATTTGCTAATGTGTCAATCATTTTGTTTTTAAACAAATTTGACCTTCTCAAGGAAAAAGTGCCCCGTGTTAGCATAAAAGACTACTTTCCTGACTTCAAAGGAAATCCACATAACATCAATGATGTACAGGAATTTGAACTGAGTTTGTATGACGAGTGTCGTAAGGAACGAGGAAAGCCTCTCTTTCATCACTTTACAACAGCTATAGATACAGAAAACATCAAGTTTGTGTTTCAAGCAGTGAAAGATACGATTCTTCAAGAAAACCTCAGGTCATTGATGTTACAGTAGTTACCATAGTAACGCTCAATGAGACTAGTCTTTTTTAGGGGAGAACTTGTTGTGAATTGTTAGTATTTAATACATTTTATCTGATAGTTTTAAACTTATCGCATACAATGTGATGTAGCACTCTGTCAAGATGTCAATGATATTGCAGCAACTAAGAGTACCTCTTAACTTGGTTATCTGCCCTGAGGCGTTCATTTGTTTCATTCTGCTATACTACACTGTTCCTTGATAGAAATTAAAACAAATTGTAAATTGATTAATTGTATGCTTACACTTTATAAAATAAGTTGATATATATACAATGTATTGCAAATATTTTAATCATGCATATAAATATATCTTAGTTGCTGTTTGAATTCGTGAGTTGACAGTGATTATATGTTTAAAACCTTTAATCATTTTTTTCAAATTTATGTTTATGTATGGACTTTATCTTGCGATAAACGCATTGAAAAACTAAGAACATTTTTTCAACAATATTTAATTGTGGATGATGTTATACAAAATTAAATACACTTTTCGCTTTTGTATCCAGCATTATACAGTTGTCTTGTTTCAACTCTTTTCAGTCTGCTTTTTTTTTTCCATATTTCTTTTCTCTCCCTCCAAATAGTTGCTCCCTAAGCAGATGCTGATGAATGAAAAATTTGAAATTTCAGATTTGTTTCTTTGCCAATATTTCATTTTAATTCCATCAATTACTTGAAAAGAATATAGGTATTCTATTTTTGAATTAACATTTAAAAAAAAAATATGTTCAAATTCTTTCTTTTGGAAAGTGACTTTTTATCCAGATATTTAAGAAGTTATCAATTCATTATAAGCAAATATAATCAGCAACCTGCTGAAAAGTTTGGGTACATCAAGTTTTGGTTTAGAACATTTATGTCATTGATAAAAATGCTAGAAGGACAACATATTTGATAAAATTATATATTTTTATATAAACATTATGTATATGTAGCAAATGGAAGCAGCCAGATGGTATGAGAATTGTTCTTAAAAGAGACTTTTTCTTACTTTTTGGACCCTGATCTTTTGGTTCAGGTATGTTTTTTTTTTATTTGATAAAAGCATCAAGGGACGCAGAAAAATATTATAACATGTAATTGTGATTCTATAAACGAAGAAAGATCAAACTATGCCTTAAAGTGGAAAAAGCTCTCACTCTGTATACATGTATGTTTTATTTAAGTCTTAAAATATTTAAAAAAAAAAAGAAAGAAATAATAACTTTAGTAGCCTTTAATGAAATTTAGAGACATGATAGTTAAAACAATCTTAATTCAAATAATACATAAGCCCACCGATTCTTATAGATCAGAGTATAGGACATAAGTGAATGTTTGCTCATACAATAGGTAGGTTGAAGACGTCAGTAGCTGAATTTAATGCTGGATATCTTATGATGAAAGACCCAGCCATTAAATTGTCCACAGGCTTTTTGCCATTTAAAAATCACTTATGACCAGTAATTTTCTGGAACATTTTTATAATAAGGAGTTTTATACAAGTCATCTATTTTGAGTGTACTGAATGGTAAATATTAAAACAATTGTAATTTTTTAAGACTGATGGCCTTTATAGATTGATGCTTTATTTGCATTTCATTTTACCTGTTAGATTTATAAATGTCATAATGAAATGTCCATGAGTAACTGTAAGCTTTTAAGTTCCCCTGGCCCTATGGGCCACATGATCTATTGGCATCACACAGGGTCTGCTGTTGTCATCCTCTGTTGTCGTAAACACACAAAAAAATGTTCTACTCTGAAAACCACTGTATCAATTTTAACCAAACTTTGACTGAATGAAACTTAGGGTATTTAGTATGCAGTTTGTATTTTTGTTACTTAGAATCAACCAACTTGGCCACATATTATGAATCTAAGTTTTACCTTCTTTCCGTTTTCCCCAAAATAATCAGATATCTATTAAATGAATTATTGCCCTTTAATTATTTTTTACCCATATTTTGTGTGGTTTAGAATTATTTTATAAACTTAAATAGATAGAGAGAGACAGTGAAAAAAAGCTTATATCTTCATCATTTTAACTCGGGTGGATAGTTGTCTCCTGTGGGATTTACCACATCTCCTTATTTTGATAAAAATAACCAATGGCAATAAAGGTAAGAATAAAATCAAAATGGCACTTTCTTTTCTATCTTGAAGCAAATCACGCTCTCTTGTTGTGAGTACATCTCAACTTGTCCTATCCCTCTATATTTTTAAAGACAAACAGCTTTCTTTTAAGTGACAATCCTACAGTCATACACATTATGTTTTGTTAAATATACCCTAAACTGATTTAAATGTTAAAGAAAGATGAAGGTTTATTTTACTGATGCATGTAATTAGTGTTGAAGAGACTGGTTCAGGTTTATATTGGTTTAATTGATTCATGCGAACAGTTTTAAAGTTTACTGAGATAAATTTCAGAATAATAACAGGATACAAATATATTTGGCTTTTTTCTTGAATAATATTAATGTACATATACATTGAATTAATGTACATGTTTGTATGATAAACAAATTATTACGATGAAGAACAAATACAGAAAACATGCTGATGATTATTGTATTGTAGTAGTGTACAGTTTGTAAAATCATTTACCATTATTTACATGAATGTTATTGGATGAAACATTTGTTATATGCATAATTTTTATAAATTAACACAAGTGCAATGAAATAATTTTTTAGTTGTTGAGTGTAAATCATGGATTATGTGAGATTGTGTCCGTGTAAGTCTGTGTCATATCTGTGTCATATCTGTGTCATGTCTGTTGTTCATGTTTAATGTAGAACCAATTGGTATATCATTGTTTGTCAAGCCTGCAATGAACCTTGCGGAATATGAGACATAGGGATGCTAATTCGTCAGTGGCAACTATTTGCATAGAGCTTTATATTTCAGACGATAGAAGACCTTGATACTTCATACATGTATCTTGTATACAGATGCCTTATGTTATGATGTTTCAGTCTGGCATATACTTGTTGTCACTTACCTCATTTTCATGGTTCAGTGACTGCTTTAAAAATGTACAGTTTTTTTATCACATGATATTTTTTTTTATAATGAGTAATAGGACAACTTGATTTGCTTCATGTCTGTCAGACAGGGTTCACCTGACCATGACCCTATTTCAATATCAATGATCAACATTAGGTTTCAAGGCTAGGTTGTTTTCTCAGATACTAAAAGCAATAGGTCACCTATAATTGGTGTATGGAATGATTGTTACGTATACATGTCTGTCTTGCAGTGTTCATCTGACCTTTCCCTCATTTTATGGTTCATTGGTCTACATTAATTTTTCATGCTTATGTCTGTTTCTCAGATACCATAAGCGTTAAGTCAGCCATATTTGTTAAATGGAATATTTGTTAGGTAAAAACGTCTGTCTGGCATGCCTAATCTGACCTTGAGTCTTGACCTCATTTTCGTTAATCAATGATGTACAGTTTATGTGAAACCTGTAGAAGGACTTTATATTTAAGACTTTCAAAGTGAAATTCAATCATGAATAGTGAAAAAGGTGAGAAAATTCAGAGCATTCTCTCTTGTTTTAGTTTAAACTATGATCTCATTACTTTATTAAATATTTAATTAAAATCTCTGAGAATTTTTTTCTGTATGTTCAAGCTTATCTTCTTTCTTGAAATTTTTAGATTTTCAGTAAATTATTTTGGCTTTTGGTTTATACTTTTGGCTAGAAGTTTTTTTGTTGGTTTGATATATTAAGATATGAATTGTTAAAGGAAGAAATAATTAATATGAAGAATAAATTATGTATCTTAAATAAGCAGATGTGTTTCCTACTCTTTTTGTTAGTTGTGTTATTAACACAGAATTGTTATAATATTAAAATAGGCTTCATTTATGTTGGAATCCTTGTAAGAGTTTATTTGAATTTTATTTGACACAGTTTTTCATTCTACAACAGAAAAAAGTAGTACTGTACTTCTTGACAAGTGGTTTCATTGATCTTGAAAATGACTAAAAATATATTTTGACATGAGTCATATGTTTTTTGTAGGTGAAAAAGTTTCATCTTTCTAGACATCACTCGGCTCAAATTTTTTTAAAGATTATAATTCATGGTTGACAAGTGTAGTTTCATATCTAAAGTAACCCTTATGTTCAATCCTACACCATATTTAAAAGGATGAACTAAGAACTCAAAGGAACTGCTAAAAATGAAGGAGAGAAAGGTCATAAATCTCACCCTTTTTTACAGTCTAACTCTTGTTATCAAGAGGTACTATAAAATAAAGTATTTACAACAAAAATTCGAAGAAAAAAAATCACAACAGGTCTTACTAGCTATATATAGTCAATTGAGGAAGTAAAAAGTGAATAAGATTAATTTGAAGGAAGTGTCTCTAATGTTTTATCTTACCCTGTCTTTTTAAGGAGTAACTAAGAAAAATAGGGACACGACTAAAGAATAGGAAAAGATTAATATAGTGGGTAGAACTAAGAAAAATAGGGACAGGACTGAAGAATTGGAAAAGATTAATATAGTGGGTAGAACTAAGGATAGACACAGTAGTGAATGAGTCGCTGCAGAAAATGCTGTCAGTAAATCTAAAACTTTTTAATAGTTTTTATATCATTTCATCTGTGAAGAATTCATTAGATCAGTATTGAATCTGGCAAAGGAAGAGACTGTATGCTTCTGCAACATACTTATGTATGTGCTGATATTTCAGTTAAAGACAATAGTAGAACTTGGCATTTAAAAATTTGACACACCATTAAACATTGTTAATACATCTGGACTGGATTTTACTTAATTTTTATTAGCTTGAAATAGAAATGAAACCTTCTGTATAACTTTTGGGTTTGTTTTTTCCTATTCAGAATATAAAAGAGAATGAATTTCCACTGTTTTATCTTAGTGAACTTGTTTGTGTATAAGTTTGTGTACTGATAGAGTGATTTAAGCTGACTACTCATGTGTCTGTATTTGCTCATGTTGGTAGCTGTTGCATCAGAAATCAAAATATCTATTGTTTGTTATCATTTATATATTTTAATGAGCCTTACATATTGTATTGTAATTATGTATATAGTCGTGTTTATAACCTTTAATTGTAGCTGAAATACCATTTAAAACACTTTTCCATTTCTTCTTAATGAGTAATTTAACTAACATATTCAAATTCTGGTTCCTTCTGATAAAATCTGATTTTAAAGGAAATGTTTCTTCAAACTAAATTTATTATTATTTATATACTTTTTTATTTTAAAACATTTATTTTGATATTTTTAACGAACTTTCTTTTATGTACCAGTAGCATTAGTTTAGAAAAAATACCAACATTTAGTTGAATATTTATTTATTGGTTAAGGGATCATGTAGCAGAAAGAGTGTTATTTATTACCCGTATTTAAATGTGTATTATTTTCAGCCTTCATCTTAAACAAGTGCCATGTATTACTCTAGTACTGCAGGGAAAATATAGTAAAATATAAAGCTCACCTAATCACCTAAATACCTTTTCTCATGGCATCTCTTTGTTCATTGGATAAATTTTCATTAAATTTTTTTACCTCTAAAACAACTTATTTAGTCTTGATCCAACTTGACCATAATTGCTTTAATCTTTAGGGAGTTATGTTGTAAAATTATAATATGTAATACAACTGATAAATTTCAAATTGGCCTTAAATATAAGTAGAAAATTGGATTAAAACTGACAATAGTTTGGATTACTAAGCAGTAATGGATTTCAGATGAATGTGTTCAATCATCTTTTAAAATAATAATAAATTCTTGGTCTTGGAATATTGTATAAAATTAACTTTTCTAAAATGGTTTCTCCAATGATTTATTACATTTACTCAGATGATTACAAATGACGTTGTACTTGTTTGTTTTTTGGTAAATGTCCCCAGATAAGTGGCTTAGGCAGGGTTTGATGAACCTGGTCCAAATTTTGCTTGAATAGGATTTTTTTTTAAAAGAACATTTGTAGACTGTTTGTCTTATACATCCTTGACTTCCAGCTGTTTGGATTTTAGCATTCCTGATGAAGGTAAATCCTGAAAAGCACTTCAGACGCACAAAATGAAAGATTTGTTATTGTCATTTGTTGGTCTTCCCATCTGTTTTCCTTCACATATTGTTTTTGGTAGTTCTTCCATTTATAGGTTTTGATTGCCCTATCAGCATTTTCTTACTTACTTTTTTACAACAGAACTAACTGATTTGTGGAGATAAACCATCAGTTTTTTTGAGTAAAGTAGCTATTACATAGAAAACTACAAATTCGGAAAAATTCAAACTTTTAAGTCTGTTTTAAAAAAAAAGGAAATAGCAACAATATAAAATCTTGTACACACTAAACTTCATTGCTGAATAAACTCATAGTATAGTGGATTTTTTGTATTTTAACATTTTGCTCCTTTTTCAGTAAAAAAAGTACTTCAATGTTTTAAAGTCAATGCTTACATTTTATCGGCTTAATTTAAATAATTCACTTAAAAAATGAATTTCATTTTATTTTACCATCTTCAATCTTCAAATATATGCCTCTCAAGATCTTTTTTTTTCGGTGCCAACTTAACTTAGTAGGCAGGTTAGCCGCAGGTATGTGTCATAATGTACTATATCATAAATGCTAAATGTCCAACAGTTTAAAAGTATGTAACTAGGGCAAATTTATAGTTCAAATACCCATCACAGTTATCTTTGTAAGTGTCCTGAATTTTCATCCAACTCCATTTATAGATGTCTTAAGATAATTTCAAGGCATGTAAATCTTCATAGTTTGTCATGCAAATAGATTTCGATCAATACCTTAGATTAGATGACTACACGTAGGAGAGTAAGGGACCAAGATGCATATTTTTAGATGCCAATAAATGGCATTTTAATTTCAAAAGTACTATTAGAAATTTCCTATATTTCTATTTATAGCAAAGTACTCTTACAAAATAAGGACCAGTCATAATGATTTCCTTCATAGCCCATCATTCCACAAGTAATTATTGTTGTAGGTTTCCATTTATGGAGATAATTTTATTTTGTGTACTTTTTTAATTTAACTTACCTCCCTTTATACATAACTATGTTGAATGTCTGTGAAGACTAGTTAATAAAGTGTGTACTGTATAAAATTTTGATTTTCCATTCAGCATTTTATTCAGAATTGTATTGAAATATTACAATGAATTCTTTTCACTAAATCCTCATTTTTTAATATTTATTTTGTTATTTTATGCCATTGAATTATTTCATGTGTGTATATCTATTATGATGCTTGAAAGATGCCTTTGTAAAAATTATACAAGATTTTTTTTCCATTCACACAGACCAAACTAAATATGAAATAAGCTTCTCATGCTCTTTATACAAAGATCCGAAAGAAAAGTTGTCAAAATAAATATTTTGTCTTTATCCACTATATGCCAAAATGAAAAAGTACAATGAATATCAGAGAAATAAAAGTATTAATGATAAATTGATAGAATATTAAATATCATAAGGGCCTGAAAAGTTGAGTTATTTTGTTTGGTCCAAGAAATTTGCTGCGAGAAGGCGTAATATTTTTGTGTATGCTGCAGATAATTAGATATTATAATTTTATTTGCAGATATTATTAAATGTATTCCCTGAATTGTTAACTGAAGGTTGTACACTGCTGGAATCCTATATTGTCATCAAAATAAACTGTTTTGTAAACAATGTCTTTTTTGACTCAATTAATGAACTGATGCAGAATGAATATCACCATAGGATCCTTTCACCAACATTTTACTTGCAACTTGGTCTGGGTTTTACAAATAAAACCTATAGAAATAAGATTTGGCACTGGTATGATTGCCAATGAGACAATTCTCCACTAGAGACCAAATGACATAGAAATTAACAACAATAGGTCACTGTAAGACCTTCAACAATGAGCAAAGTCAATACTGCATAGTAAGCTATAAAAGGCCCCGAAATGACAAAAGTAAAACAATTCAAACAAGAAAACTAATGGCCTGATATATGTACAAAACAATATACGAAGAACAAATATGATTGGAACCATTGGATGACTCCTTTTATGAGGTACTTTTCTTAAATGATGATTTTTTTCACTAATTTATTAGTTTTTGATTATTATCAAGAAATATAAAAGATAAGTAGAACTTCGAAAACAACAAAAGAAATGTCAAATGACCAAAACCATTGGATGATCCCTTATAGTAGTTATTGCCCTTAAATGATAATTTTTAACTGGATTTTCGAAAGAAAAATCGGTTATTGATTTCGGGATGTACAGCGGGTGGGCGGCTGCTAAACAGTGTCCGTTCATTAACATGAAATGCTTTGACGAAATCTTTTCAAATTTAGATATGTTGTTTCCTGTGACTAAATGAAGGTCAGGTTCAATTTTGGCTTCTCGTTGAGTTGTAGCCCTTTTCAGTAGCCAAAAGTGTTACTTATTATGTAATTGAGTTATTTCCCTTTGAACAGAAATTAATAATTATTTTCTTTGTCATTTGGTCTCTTGTTAGATTTTTTTTTAATTTTTGAGGCCTGTCTTCAAATTGGTCTACATTTAGGTCCAAAGGGTCCAAAATACAACGTTTTTTTTATTTAAAAAAAAAATTGAATTCTTGGTGTCCTTTGATATGCTGAATCTAAGTGGTATTTAGATTTTTGATTATAATTTGAAAATAGATATAACATCATATCTTATTTTAGAGAACTATTTTTTTAGTGGTTAAATCATATCTAATTTTAGAGAACTATTTTTTAGTGCTTAAATCATATCTAATTTTAGAGAACTATTTTTATATTACATATTCAGTTTAAGTTATTTCCCTTTGAACAGAAAATTTATAAATATATGGATAGAATTAAACTGTGTTTCATTTCAATATAAATTGAATATATATAGGGTTCTTTCAAATGCTGAGTCTAAACCTGTGTTTAAATATTGGATTTTTGGGCCTAGTTTTCAAGTTGGTCCAAATCAGGGTCCAAAATTAAACTGTTTGATTTCAACAAAAATTGAATTGATGAGGTTCTTTGAGATGCTGAATCTAACCATTTGTTTAGAGATTTTGGATTTTGGGCTCCTTTATCAAATTTGTCCACATTGAGGTACAAAGGGTCCTAAATTAAACTTTTGTTTGATTTCTTCAAAAATTTAATTCTTGGGGTTATTTGATATGCTGATTCTAACAATGTACTTAGATTTTGGATATTGGACCATAATAGGTAAATGTCCAATTTCAAATTTTTCGGTTCTTTGACCACATTCATTTTGTGTCACAAACCTATGCTGTGTCAAATATTCAATCACAATCCAAATTCAGAGCTGTTTTAAGCTTAAATGTAGTGTCCATACTTGCTCAACTGTTCAGGGTTCAACCTCTGTAGGAAATCCAGTTTGCTGTCACTTTGACAGCCTCTTGTTTACTAATTTTTCCAGTTTTTGCCTATTACCTCTACAATTATGTAGGTGGAAACTGAAAAAATGGTCAGTAGTACAAGATCTACAAAAATGACATAATGACTGAACCTAAAGCATTGAACGACTCATTATAGGAGGTATTGCCCTGAAATGACAATTTTTTACTAATTAAAGAGTTTTGGCTTAATAATCATAATGATTCTTGCCTAAAAATACTTTTTTAATGGAATGTTACTATGGTAAAAATATCATTTCTTACTTACATTGTATCTTTTAACACTTGAAAGGTATACTTCATGTTTTCAATATTAATGTCTGTCCTGACTGACTGATAGTTTTCTTTTCTCGCATAAATTCATCTTTACCCAGTTCAAATTAAGCACACCACCTTCCACACTAAAGGTGTGCATGCTACCATATACCACAAGTTTTATGAAGATCATTGATATTGATATTTTATTTGCAAAGAACAAAGAAAATTTCATGTCTATTTACCTATACTGTTAAAATGGTCGGTTGGAATACAGCATACATTTGTCTCACACAATCTGATGTTTTAATAGCATTTTGGATGATGGCAAGTGCCACTGGAAATTCAAAAAGAGGACCATGCAAAATAATGATAATGATATTGCTTCAAGTTTTACCTGTCGTATTGATATAAATGGGCTTTGACAGTTAACCATATCCTACACCATGATAAATATATTTTCCTTCAAACTATGACTAAGAAATAAAATAATCTGTTGACCCAGAGATATGTGTCACCTTTATGTTATTTTGTCGGTATTATGCAAACGGTGAAATTAAAATGGAAATACTTGTAACATGTAAGCTATGCAGAACATTCAGACTCAATGAACCATGACTGGAGGTGCAGGGCCTAATAACCTCAGTGGAAACATAATTAAATGCCAAATACCTTTGACTTTTCATAAGTAAATCCATTTAAACTTGATCAAAACACAAACTTTAACATGTAAACTATGCAAAAGTTTCAAAGTCAATAGACCATGACTTAAGAGGGCAGGGGCAAATAATTTCCATGTAAATGAGATGTGTCAATGCTTATACAACTGCAGACTAAATATCATTAACCTTCTACTAGTGATTCCCCTCAAACTGACCTAATCACAAACTAATAAATTTAAACTAGGCAAAAGTTTCAAAGTCACAAGACCATGACTGAGAGGGTAGAGCCAAATAGTATCCATGGAAATGAGATGTGTCAATGCTTATACAACTGCATACCAAATATCAATGACTTACCACTATTGGTTCTCCTTTAAGTGTCTTATCACAAACTAATACATTGTTGACACCCATGCTGCTGCCACTGCCAGAAACAGCCCACCAAAGTCACGCTTTCAACTTCATTGAGGCAAGACAATAATCAGTCAGAAGTAAATAATGATATAAACAATTTTATTTCAACAACAATTTGGTCTTTCTGTGGTGAGATATGTAACAATATGGAATTTAACAGACAACAACCATAGTACAGAGTGATATATAGATTTCTTTTTGTGGCAATTTTCATGGCTAGTGATGTAGAAATTACACAGTGATAAACATTCTTCCAGTAACTTTGATAGAAGCAAGCGAGTCAACCATGAAAGGTGTTAAACAATACTAAAGCATCTAACCATACAAATATGATTACCACAAAATCAAATGAATCCACTTTTTACAGTTCATTATATGTTTAAAAGATAGATCCTTGTATCATAGCGACTGGTGGTATAATTGCAAATGACATGACTATCAAGAAATGATCAAAGGATACCAAAATTTTTTATAACATTTCCACTGAAACTTATATTTTGCTTCTTAAGGTGTAAGTTCTGGCATGAAAGCTTGATATAAAAAAAGATGGTTTGTTGTATGAAGAATACTTCTTTGGCTATTGAATCCAAAATTCCTCATTTAAATATGATCATTCTGAAAAAAAAAATTAAAACTGTGCCAAAATTGGCCTTATCTCATCTTGCTTTTCATCTGTACCATCTTTCAATCTCTGGTTTTCATCAGATTCTCTAATTATTCTCAAATATCAAGTTCTTATAATACCGTTTAGATGTTTAACAGAACAGGAAGAAATAACAAAACAAATGACTTGATTTAAATTGCAAATTAGATTACTTAGGCTAATTCCAGTTAAAATATTCAAATGGTAAGCATAGTAATATATTTCCAATTTTTCATTCTCAAATAAATGCAATATAGAATAACTGCTAGTTGATGGATATAAACAAAACGCTGTTTTTTTCATAGAACAGTGATCTCTTTGAGGTAATAGTTGTATATAATGAAAATTACAAATATAAATACTATATTTAGACATAAAACATTTTACAACTCATTTTTACAAATTAAATGTACAACAAAAAATAAGAATATTACATGTATCTTGAAATTTGAAGTTAAAAGCATAAACCTGGCTTATTTGTTGTCTGTAAACCATGTAGACAATGTTCAAAAGAAGTTTTATTGAATTCTGATGGTCCTATAGTGAAAAACCAAAAAAATTCCCTGGAAATTTGTTTCTAAACAAATAATAAAACTGATCAACAATAAAAAGGAAATATCTGTAAGTATTATAAATATTTTATTTTCTGAAAAAAATTAATTGATTGATTGATTGGTTGGTGTTTTGGCTATTTCTTGGCGATCAGTTTTTATTGGTGGAGAAAGCTGAGAGAACCACCGACCTTCTACAGGATGACTGACAATCCTAGTCAATTAAGATTTGAGTCTGGGTTCAAACTCACAACCTCAGTGTTGACAGGCTAGTGATACAGTAGTTGAACTACTTAGACCACCAAGCCACCAAGGCCCCTGAAAGAATTTAAGGAAAATACTCTAAATAAAATGCTCCGCAGGGCGCAGCTTGATACGACCGCAGAGGTCGAACCCTGAATAGTTGGGGCAAGTATGGACACAACATTCAAGCTTGATACAGCTCTGAATTTGGATTGTGATTAAATATTTGACACAGCATAGGTTTCTGACACAGAATGAATCAATGTGGTCTAAGAACTTAAAAATTTTAAATTGGACATTCACCTATTATGGTCCAATATCCAAAATCTAAATACATGGTTAGATTCAGCATATCAAAGAACCCCAAGAATTCAATTTTTGATGAAATCAAACAAAGTTTAATTTTGGACTCTTTAGACCTCAATGTGGACAAAGTTGATAACGGGGCCCAAAAATCAAAAATCTAAATACATGGTTAGATTCAGCATATCAAAGAACCCCATATATTCAATTTTTGTTGAAATCAAACAAAGTTTAATTTTGGACCCCGATTTGGACCAACTTGAAAACTGGGCCCATAATCAAAAATCTAAATACATGTTTAGATTCAGCATATCAAAGAACCCTAAGATTTCAATTTTTGTTAAAATCAAACTTAGTTTAATTTTGGACCCTTTGGACCTTAATGTAGACCAATTTGAAAACAGAACCAAAAATTAAGAATCTAAATACACGGTTAGATTCGGCATATCAAAGAACCCCAATAATTCATTTTTTGATGAAATCAAACAAAGTTTAATTTTGGACCCTTTGGACCTCAATGTGGACCAATTTAAAAATGGGGCCCAAAATCCAAAAACTTAATACACGGTTAGATTCAGCATATTAAAGAACCCCAAGAATTCAAGAATAAAACCCCATTGAAATTGGCCAAGAAATAAGCAATTTATACGAAGTATCTTCTTTTGCACAATACTGTGCAATTGAATATTTCTTGCTATTGCGCAATACTGCACAATTGACAATTTCTTGCTATTGCGCAATATTGTGCTATTGGATATTTCTTGCTATTGCGCAATACTGTGCAATTGAAGATTTCTTGCTATTGCGCAATACTGTGCAATTGAAGATTTCTTTCTATTGTGCAATACTGTGCAATTGAAAATTTCTTGCTATTGCACAATACTTATTATATAATAATTTTCACATCCTGTTTGGTGTGTATCTCCTACCATATCATTATTCTTTGCTTTTAAATATAAATCAGAAATAACCAACTTAAAATGGAAAATTTTAAAAGAAAAAAAGAAAAAAAGGAAAAAAAAAAAAATCCCCCCCCAAATTTTTTGAACCCCCTTATGATTCATCACCCCCAAACTCAATCCCAGCCTTCCCTTTGTGGTATGGTACCTTGCAGTACAATTTCAGAGAGATCCATACACTTGAACACAAGTTATTGTCTGGAAACTAGAAAAATGCTTATTTTTGGCCCCTTTTTGGCCCCCAATTCCTAAACGTTTCGGGCAATTACCCCCAAACTCAATTCCAGCTTTCCCTTTGTGATATGGAACCTTGTAGTACAATTTCAGAAATATTCAAACACTTACACACAAGTTATTGTCATGAAACTAGAAAAATCCTTGTTTTTTGCCCCTAATTCCTAATATTTTGAGGCAATTACCCCCAAAATCAATCCCAGCATTCCCTTTGTGATATGGAACCTTGTGGTACAATGTCAGAGAGATCCATACACTAACACACAAGTTATGTCTGGAAGTTACAAAAATGCTTATTTTTGGCCCCTTTTTGGCCCCAAATTCCTTAACTGTTGGTACCATAACCCCCAAAATCAATCCCAACCATCCTTTTGTGGTATTGAACCTTATGGTAAAATTTCATAGAGATCCATTCACTTAAACTAAAGTTAGAGTGCGAAAACCAATGTGTCTTCGGACGACGCAGGACGACAACGCCAACGTCATACCAATATACGACCGCAAAAATTTTTGCGGTCGTATAAAAATTACTTGTTCTTATATTATAATCTAAAACTGTATTACCTTTAAGTTACAAATAAGTGTTTACAATATTTGATTGAAAGGGGATTGAAAATATAACACATTAACATTTTTAAAAAAGATACTGAAATGTCAAAAGGAAAGTATAATAAATTGTTGACACAGAGATCTGTCTGGCCTTTTGGCAGAAAATTTGATAAAAGACAATCTGATGGACAGCAACATTGCTAAGTCCCTGGACCATGACCTAGGATGCAGGGCCTCAAAATAGTTGTAAAACTGATATGTACTGATAGTAATGCAACTTTATAGAAAATATCATTGATCTATCACCAGAAGTTCCTATCAAACTGACAACCAGAAAACTTAACATTGAAAATTGCTTATTAATTCAAAGTCACTGGACCATGATCTAGGGGCAGGGCCTCAAAATAGTCGTCAAACTGATGTGTACTGATAGTTATGCAACTTTATTCAGAATATCATTGATCTATACACAAGCAGTTCCTATCAAACTAATTTAGCAGAAAACTTAACATTGAAAATTGCTAATTAATTCAAAGTCACTGGACCATGATCTAGGAGCAAGGCCTCGAAATAGTCGTCCAACTGATATGTACTGATAGTAATGCAACTTTACACAAAATATCATTGATCTATCGCAATATGTTCCTATCAAACTAACTTAAAACAATGATATAAAGGAACTTCAACTAAGCTTCAGAAAGTCTTACAAGACAAGATAACATACACATACAACAGCATTTATTAAAACACATGTGTGATGCATTGCACTAAGTAAATAATCATTTAAACAACTTCCTGAATATTCAGTATATAAACATTAAAACAGATTCTAAAATATAAAATGAGCTGAATCTGTGATTGTCAAATAAAACAGTTACTTTATCTAATAAACAATATAATAAAATCCATCTTAATGGAATGTTCTATTATATTAAAACTGTACTATCTTCTTACATGTAAAATAATATGAGTCAGGTGTTAATAAATGTGAAAGAGGACAAAATCCTTATAAATAACTATTTAAATACAGATTTTTGCAAAATTAAAATTACAGTAAAATGTACTAAAGCCATCAATTAATTTACATTTTACAAACTATGACATTAAAAAAATATGAAAAATCACTATTATTTAAAAACAATTGGTAACTTTTGAGATACCCTAATCATTGTCTCCACGAGTGAAAAATCAACAATAAATTATAACTCTTTACCAAATTGTATAAAAAAATGAATTCCCAGCATAATTACTGTTGAAACGGTAACTGATCTACGAAAAGGTATCCAATGTTGGTCCTGTTGTTAGGAATTTAATGTATGATCTCATTTTCATTGTAAACAAAGAAGCTTTTTCTTCAGGTTACGTTATTTTAATACTAAAGTATTTTATTTAATTAAAAATATAACAATTAATTCCTTAAATCAAGTCAATTTACTATTTATCTTTGTGTATCCATTAGGCAAAAATTTGTCTGAATGACAGTAAATTTCCAGAGATTATAACTCATTTTGTTTGCTATAAACTGTATGTTGAATAAGTACTAGGCTCATTTTATTTTATACCAGTCTGTAAAACTCATCTCATTATAAAAGTACAGTTGGACTCACAAACAGAATTCTCTAAGTATCAAATGATCCTACTTGTGGTTTTTTCTTGTTTACTTTTAACACAAAAATGTTTCTTGAATAAAACTTGATACAAAAACTTGTTTGCTTTATTGCACTAGATGCATGGAATATTACTTTAGACAGGTATTATAATTCCTCTTTTTAATGCAGTTTCAGTTTTATAAAGTGATATTTGAGATTTTTAATTTCAATAAATTATTTTCATAACTGTTAACCATAGCTGGAAAATACTATTATAAATTGAAGAGGCCGATAGGTGAATAACAAACTAATACTATAACCCAATGATTCTATTCAAATGCTTTTTAAAAATGAATTACAGGCATATCCCAAATGCAGCAACTTTTTTCACATGCAAAAACAGGTACCTTATCTTGCAAAAACACAATGTGTCTTCTGTCGAAATAATAATGTAACAAGCTGATCTGATGACAGTTTTCATGTTTTTGATACAGGCCCTGTTTCCTATAGAATACAAGCCCTGTTGCCCAGATGATTTCTTTAAAAATTTGTAAAAGTCAATGGTAAAAAATATCCTAAACATTTTGATGAATGTCATCTATTAGAATAGTAACTATTTCATGATCATCATTCAATAGTCAACAATACATAATATCAAAACAATATCATAAAATACATGTACTACAAGAGCATGAACACAATAATATACACTATAAATCACTGGGAAACGATAGACAATAAGGAATCACAGCTTTTAGATTTCTTGCTCTTTCAATGCCCATTTCTTTTCCATGAGACGCATATAATCAGTCCACTTCCTCATATCTTGCTCTCTTACTTGGGTGTTCAGAGTCAGAGTCTGACTCCTCTGAAGAGTATCCTGATGTTGATGGCATTGACAGTATATTTAACGGAATATCCATCCTATTCTCTCCCAAACTAGATTGATTTAATCCAGCCTCTGAGGCACCTTTCTCTATTTCTGCCAATGCTGAGTCAATTGCCTGTACGACATGTCTGGCATTATCACATGTAAAACACAGCGGTGGTGTAATCAACATCACATTCTTGTCCTGTCCTTCATTAGCAATAATTATCTTGTTCTCTTTTAACCTGAAAATAAAATGGTTTATAAAGCTTGTTAACTTGTTTGTTTGGTACCCATATCCACTTCTATGACCCTGTATTATTAATGGTTGAAACAACAGTGTCTTTTGGAGAAAGAACTGAAAAGCTTCTTTTTTTTTTATCCAAAAAGGAAACCATATATTGTTACAAATATTAAATCCAGAGAACTTTAAACAAAGTATTGAAGAGTATGTTTTTTTTTCAATTAAACATACAGCTGTATAGCACATCAATGTGTGCATGTAAATATCAAATACACTTGGATTCCAAGATACCTGCCAACTTAAAACCATTTAGATGTAAACTACGTGCATTTCAGTTCTGTGCTAAATACATGACGGGAATTGTGGACATAGCCCTAATACAAGGTTTAAAAAAACTAGAGGCTCTAAAGAGCCTGTGTCGCTCACCTTGGTCTATGTGCATATTAAACAAAGGACACAGATGGACTCATGACAAAATTGTGTTTTGGTGATGTTGATGTGTTTGTAGATCTTACTTTACTGAACATTCTTGCTGCTAACAATTATCTCTATCTAAAATGAACTTGGCCCAGTAGTTACAGTGGAAAATATTTTGTAAAAATTTACAAAAATTTACAAAATTTATGAAAATTATAAACTAGAGGCTCTCAAGAGCCTGTGTCGCTCACCTGTATTTACTGATGCTTTGGAAATCATGTAAAATAAGGTTAAAATCATAATTAATAGTATTAGATATTAGATATTATAATGATATCTAAGATAATAACAAAAAACTGCAAAATTTTGTAAAATTACTAACTCAGGGGCAGCAACCCAACAACGGGTTGTCGGATTTGTCTGAAAATTTCAGGGCAGATAAATCTAAATCTGATGAACATTATTGCCACCTGTCAGATTTGCTCTAAATGCTATAGTTTCAGAGATATAAGCCAAAAACTGCATTTTACCCCTATGTTCTATTTTTAACCAAGTCGGCCATGATGGTTGGAAGGCGGGGTCATCGGACAAATTTTTTAAACTAGATACCCTAATAATGATTATGGTCAAGTATGGTTAAATTTGTCTCAGTAGTTTCAGAGAAGAAGATTTTTGTAAAAGATAACAAAAATTTACAAAAAATTGTTAAAAATTGACTATTAAGGGCAATAACTCCTAAAGGGGTCGACTTACAATTTTGGTCATGACAACTTATTTGTAGATCTTACTTTGCTGAACATTATTGCTGTTTACAGTTTATCTCTATCTTTAATAATATTCAAGATAATAACCAATAAAATGCTCTGCAGGGCGCAGCTTGATACGACCGCAGAGGTCGAACCCTGAACAGTTGGGGCAAGTATGGACACAACATTCAAGCTTGATACAGCTCTGAATTTGGATTGTGATTAAATATTTGACACAGCATAGGTTTCTGACACAGAATGAATGTGGTCTAAGAACTTAAAAATTTTAAATTGGACATTCACCTATTATGGTCCAATATCCAAAATCTAAATACATGGTTAGATTCAGCATATCAAAGAACCCCAAGAATTCAATTTTTGATGAAATCAAACAAAGTTTAATTTTGGACCCTTTTGACCTCAATGTGGACAAAGTTGTTAACGGGGCCCAAAAATCAAAAATCTAAATACATGGTTAGATTCAGCATATCAAGAACCCCAAGAATTCAATTTTTGATGAAATCAAACAAAGTTTAATTTTGGACCCTTTTGACCTCAATGTGGACAAAGTCGATAACGGGGCCCAAAAATCAAAAATCTAAATACATGGTTAGATTCAGCATATCAAAGAACCCCATATATTCAATTTTTGTTGAAATCAAACAAAGTTTAATTTTGGACCCCGATTTGGACCAACTTGAAAACTGGGCCCATAATCAAAAATCTAAATACATGTTTAGATTCAGCATATCAAAGAACCCTAAAAATTCAATTTTTGTTAAAATCAAACTAAGTTTAATTTTGGACCCTTTAGACCTTAATGTAGACCAATTTGAAAACGGAACCAAAAATTAAGAATCTAAATACACGGTTAGATTCGGCATATCAAAGAACCCCAATAATTCAATTTTTGATGAAATCAAACACAGTTTAATTTTGGACCCTTTGGACCTCAATGTGGACCAATTTAAAAACGGGGCCCAAAATCCAAAAACTTAATACACGGTTAGATTCAGCATATTAAAGACCCCCAAGAATTCAAGAATAAAACCCCATTGAAATTGATCAAGAAATAAGCAATTTATACGAAGTATCTTCTTTTGCACAATACTGTGCAATTGAATATTTCTTGCTATTGCGCAATGCTGTACAATTGACAATTTCTTGCTATTGTGCAATATTGTGCTATTGGATATTTCTTGCTATTGCGCAATACTGTGCAATTGAAGATTTCTTGCTATTGCGCAATACTGTGCAATTGAAGATTTCTTGCTATTGTGCAATACTGTGCAATTGAAAATTTCTTGCTATTGCACAATACTTATTATATAATAATTTACACATCCTGTTTGGTGTGTATCTCCTACCATATCATTATTATTTGCTTTTAAATATTAATCAGAAATAACCAACTTAAAATGGAAAATTTTAAAAGAAAAAAAGAAAAAAAGGAAAAAAAAAAAAATCCCCCCCCAAATTTTTTGAACCCCCTTATGATTCATCACCCCCAAACTCAATCCCAGCCTTCCCTTTGTGGTATGGTACCTTGCAGTACAATTTCAGAGAGATCCATACACTTGAACACAAGTTATTGTCTGGAAACTAGAAAAATGCTTATTTTTGGCCCCTTTTTGGCCCCCAATTCCTAAACGTTTCGGGCAATTACCCCCAAACTCAATTCCAGCTTTCCCTTTGTGATATGGAACCTTGTAGTACAATTTCAGAAATATCCAAACACTTACACACAAGTTATTGTCATTAAACTAGAAAAATGCTTGTTTTTTGCCCCTTTTTTGGCCCCTAATTCCTAAAAATTTTGAGGCAATTACCCCCAAAATCAATTACAGCCTTCCCTTTGTGATATGGAACCTTGTGGTACAATGTCAGAGAGATCCATACACTTACACACAAGTTATTGTCTGGAAGTTACAAAAATGCTTATTTTTGACCCCTTTTTGGCCCCTTATTCCTTAACTGTTGGTACCATAACCCCCAAAATCAATCCCAACCTTCCTTTCGTGGTATTGAACCTTATGGTAAAATTTCATGGAGATCCATTCACTTAAACTAAAGTTAGAGTGCGAAAACCAATGTGTCTTCGGACGACGCTGGATGACGACGACGACGACGACGACGCCGCCAACGTCATACCAATATACGACCAAAAATTTTTTAATTTTTGAGGTCGTATAAAAACTGCAAAATTTTCTTAAAATTACCAATTCAGGGGCAGCAAGCCAACAACAGGTTGTCAGATTTGTCTGATAATTTCAGGGCAGATAGATCTTGACCTGATAATCAGTTTTACCCGATGTCAGATTTACCCTAAATGCTTTAGTTTCAGAGATATAAGCCAACATCTACATTTTACCCCAATGTTCTATTTTTAGCCATGGCAGCCATCTTGGTTGGTTGGCGGGGTCATCGGACACATTTTTTAAACTAGATACCCTAATGATGATTGTGGCCAAGTTTGGTTAAATTTGGCCCAGTGGTTTCAGAGGAGAAGATTTTTGTAAAAAGCTAACGACGAGGGACGACGACAGATGCCGGACGCCAAAAGATGAGAAAAGCTCACTTTGCCCTTCGGGCCAGGTGACTTCAAAATTGACTATAAAGGGCAATAACTCCTTAAGGGGTCAATTGACAATTTTGGTCATGTTGACTTATTTGTAGATCTTACTTTGCTGTGCATTATTGCTGTTTACAGTTTATCTCTATCTATAATAATATTCAAGATAATAACCAAAAGCTGCAAAATTTTCTTAAAATTAAAGAACCTTAGTGAGCGCGCTCACATACCCCACGTCCCCACATTGTCATTGGAGAAATAAAATAAGTGTAAGAAAAAAAAGTTGTATCAGAAAAAAAAATTGAATCATAATTTCCTGTCAATATGCACATCTACATAGTATGTCCTTATTATCTACACAGTTTCATGAAATTCTGTTGTGTGGTTTGAGAGGAGTTGCGATGACAAAAAGGTTGCAGTAGTATATTGGGCAAATAAGTTCAAAGTGGCGTAACTCCTGAAAAAAAAATTGAATCGTAATTTCCTGTCGATATGCACATCTACGTAGTATGTACTTATTATCTGAAAAGGTTTCATGAAATTCTGTTGTGTGGTTTGAGAGGAGTTGCGATGACAAAAGGTTGCAGTAGTATATTGGGCAAATAAGTTCAAAGGGGCATAACTCCTGGAAAAAAATTGAATCGTAATTTCCTGTCGATATGCACATCTACGTAGTATGTCCTTATCTGAAAAGGTTTCATGAAATTCTGTTGTGTGGTTTGAGAGGAGTTGCGATGACAAAAGGTTGCAGAAGTATATTGGGCAAATAAGTTCAAAGGGGCGTAACTCCTGGAAAAAAAATTGAATCGTAATTTCCTGTCGATATGCACATCTACGTAGTATGTCCTTATTATCTGAAAAGGTTTCATGAAATTCTGTTGTGTGGTTTGAGAGGAGTTGCGATGACAAACTGTTGCAGTAGTACATTAAAGTAAATAAGTTCAAAGGGGTGTAACTCCTAGAAAAAAGAATTGAATCGTAATTTCCTGTCGATATGCACATCTACGTAGTATGTACTTATTATCTGAAAAGGTGTCATGAAATTCTGTTGTGTGGTTTGAGAGGAGTTGCGATGACAAAAGGTTGCAGTAGTATATTGGGCAAATAAGTTCAAAGGGGCGTAACTCCTGGAAAAAAAATTGAATCGTAATTTCCTGTCAATATGCACATCTACGTAGTATGTCCTTATTATCTGAAAAGGTTTCATGAAATTCTGTTGTGTGGTTTGAGAGGAGTTGCGATGACAAAAGGTTGCAGTAGTATATTGGGCAAATAAGTTCAAAGTGGCATAACTCCTGGAAAAAAAATTGAATCGTAATTTCCTGTCGATATGCACATCTACGTAGTATGTCCTTACTATCTGAAAAGGTTTCATGAAATTCTGTTGTGTGGTTTGAGAGGAGTTGTGATGACAAAAGGTTGCAGTAGTATATTGGGCAAATAAGTTCAAAGGGGCGTAACTCCTGGAAAAAAAATTGAATCGTAATTTCCTGTCGATATGCACATCTACGTAGTATGTCCTTATTATCTGAAAAGGTTTCATGTAATTCTGTTGTGTGGTTTGAGAGGAGTTACGATGACAAACTGTTGCAGTAGTACATTAAAGTAAATAAGTTCAAAGGGGCGTAACTCCTAGAAAAAGAATTGAATCGTAATTTCCTGTCGATATGCACAACTACATAGTATGTCCTTATTATCTTAAAAGGTTTCGTGAAATTCTGTTGTGTGGTTTGAGAGGAGTTGCGATGACAAGAAACAGGACTGATGGACTGACGGATTGACGGACTGACCGACGGACGGATGGACGGATGGGTCAAAAACATTATACCCTCCGCAACTCGTTGCGTGGGGTATAATTATCAATTCAGGGGCAGCAACCCAACAACATGTTGCCTGATTGTTCTGAAAATTTCAGGGCAGATAGATCTTGACCTAATGAACAATTTTATCCTTGTCAGATTTGCTCTAAATGCTTCGGTTTCAGAGATATGAGCCAAAAACTGGATTTTACCCTATGTACTATTTTTAGCCATGTCGGCCATCTTGGTTCGCGGGCTGGGTCATCGGACACATTTTTTAAACTAGATACCCTAATGATGATTGTGGACAAGTTTGGTTAAATTTGTCTTAGTAGTTTCAGAGGAGAAGATTTTTGTAAAAGATTACAAAAATTTACGAAAAATGGTTAAAAATTGACTTTAAAAGGCAATAACTCCTTAAGGGGTCAACTGACCATTTTAGTCATGTTGACTTATTTGTAGATCTTACTTTGCTAAACATTATTGCTGTTTACAGTTTATCTCTATCTATAATAATATTAAAGATAATAACCAAAAACGGCAAAATTTCCTTAAAATTACCAATTCAGGGGCAGCAACCCAAAAACGGGTTGTCAGATTCATCTGAAATTTCAGGGCAGATAGATCTTGACCTGATAAACAATTTTATCCCATGTCAGATTTGCTCTAAATGCTTTGGTTTCAGAGATATAAGCCAAAATCTACATTTTACCCCTATGTTCTATTTTTAGTCATGCCGCCCATCTTGGTTGGTTGACCGGGTCACCGGACACATTTTTTAAACTATATACCCCAATGATGATTGTGGCCAAGTTTGGTCAAATTTGGCCCAGTAGTTTCAGAGGAGAAGATTTTTGTAAAAGTTTACGGACGACGGATGCAGGACGCAGGACGACGGACGCTAAGTGATGAGAAAAGCTCACTTGGCCCTTTGGGCCAGGTGAGCTAAAAAGGAAGTTTAACCCTGCCTTTTCTGAAAGTGCCTTTCCCAAGTTAGGAGCCTGTAATTAAGTAGTTGTCATTGGTTGATTAAGAAATAATTCATGGCAGCCGTAGATTTGTTTTCATTTAACCATGGGTTGGGCATTTATATTCGATTATTTTACCCTGAGCGTTAACGAGGGGTAAAATACGAATATAAATGCCAAACCCATGGTTAAATGAAAACAAATCTACGGCTGCCATGAATTATTTTGATTCTAATAGGACAAATTCAGTAATTTTGTTAACCCTGAAAGCCCTATACATACGATACTGTTTTGGCTGTTCCGTTTTACCCAATTTTGATAATATTAGTAATATTATATAATTCAATGATTATTTTTTTTTTAATCATATTTTTCACTTATAAATTTTCTTTCAATGTAATTTTATGCGTTCTGAGGCGTACAAGAAGCTTTAAAACGCCCGGTATTAACATTTAATTTTTTGTTTACGGAAACATATTTGTGACATCACCTTGTTTCATTGCCATGTCAAGACAATAACATCATTTCGCGGAATTTTCGTTTTATGAAATTTTACCATGAAAAATAAATTGAAATAGACTGATTTGTTTATTTTGCTGTAGAATAGATATAAATATATTGTATCTGAAGCTTGGCCTTCGTAAACTGGGGATTTTGATGTCGAAAATTGAGAATATCTGGCAGTATCAATAAGTTGGTCGTAATGCGGAACAGCTGTTTATGTGTATTACTGCGTTTGCGCTAAAGGTAGATATATTGTGATTATACTGGTTGACGATAATAGGTCGTCATATTAGAATGTCTGTTATATCTGCTTTTCATTTATTGTTTTGTCATAAATCAGGCCGGTAGTTTTTTTCATTCAAATTATTTCTCGTTTTGTCATGTCAGGGCCTTTTATAAGTGACTTTACAGTACAAGTTTTGCTCATTATTGAAGGCCATACAGTGACCTGTAATTGCTTTAATCCACCTCCTTTGGACTCTGTTGGATAGTTGTCTCATTGGCAATCTGACCATATCCCCTTTATTTATTTTTATTATATCTAAGTGTAACCCAAGGGAAAATTCTAACAGATCAATAGTATTTGTAAAAAAAAATATCATTACAGAGTTATTCTAATAATATCAATAGGTGTTCTATAGAAACAATTAAAATATTGTTAATATCGATATTGTGTAAATCCTGTCTTCATTAGAAAATTTACTGATTATTTTCCACGCATATCCACCTAAAATATTTATACAATATATACTTACTTATGAGCCAGTAAATCTGCAGCTTCTGGTGAAGGTTTTCTACTCTCCTTGTCTGTAACTATTTCTATGCCTACTATCATCCCTCGGCCTCTGTAAAATATATATACATACATACAGAAACAAATATGGCTGTGTGAAGCCTTTCTTTCTGTTGACCTCTATTTAATAATATGGTAAGAAATTATAGATCAGAAACATCTAAACAATTTACGTTATATTTTTCAAATTAACAAGCAAACTGTATTTGTAATAAGACATGTGAAGATCCAGGATTTAAGCTTAGTGAGGGCACAACCATATCAATCAATTTTGCTGAGTGGAGCTCTTTTATTACAATAAATATATTTTTCCCCGATATAAGAGGGCTGTGCAACAGGTGCACTCCTGCCTGAATCCACCCGTGGAATAATTGCTCTATTTACTTACACTTGTAAAAATTCACCATTTGCAAGAAGCATTTCTAAAAGATATAATTTCTGAACAAGTTTACTAAATCAGCCACTGCAAAATATAATAAACTTTAAAAGATTGAAAATACATAATGTTTTAATTGCAAAGACCTTGTGATGAAATATATTATTACAGTCCTCAAATTAAACTGATTGTTTAAATTGACTAACACTAATTCTTGACATTAAAACAACACTTGGTTAGAAATGTAAAGCTATCGCAGCACAAATATATCTAGAATACTTGGAACAGATACATTTATTTCTTAGGCAATATCTCAGGTTTACAATCAAGCTTTTGAAAAATGATAGAAATCTCGAAAAAAAAATCAGGAATTTTTCATACCTGTTCTTATATTTTTCACAACAGTAAACAACCATGTATAATTGCATCACCAACCACAATATTAAATGGTTAACACCTGCATTGACTTTAAACAACTCTAAAAACCTAGTATTAACAATAATGATATTACATTTTTTCACACCATAAATTACCATTAAAATTTCCATACTTTAATCACATCACCAATCAATCAAAAAACTATTCACATCCATATTTAAGCATGCACAACTCTACATACCTAACATCACCAATCATTGGATGATTAGGTGCAATAGCTTTAAGTCCATCTTTGAAACATTTGCCTACAGATTTTGCACTTGATTGTAACTTCTCATTCTGTATAACATCTAAAACTGCTAAACCAATGGAACAGGCAACTGGGTTTCCACCAAACTGAAAGTCAAATAAATTTTTTATAAATTCACCATTTTCTCCAAACTAAAAGAATGTAGTTTCATTATCATGTTAAGAACAACTTTCACTGGACCATTAAATTTACATTTAAGAATATTGCAATTATAGGCACATGATTAACATGTCCCAAAATGTTTAAAGCATGGTGGTAAGTGTGACATTCAACTGATTCTCCTTTTGTAACAGGTCATCATGTTATCTAAAGTTAAGTATTCTTAAGATATATACAAAATAATTTTACTGGCGTAATGATAACTTGTAATGACTTGTTATGAAACCCTAAACGTGGTTTGATGGCCACCTTGTATAGTATACAGGCACAATAGAAGTAACAGTTGGCACTGCCATCAATCCATTCATTTGTTATCAAAATTTGAAATGATAACAGAATGTCATACATTCTTGTAGACCTTTGGACAAGATGAGCTTAAAAGGTGTGAAAAAAAAATTAATTTTAAAATATACATTAGAGAAAATTTTACTGAAGAAGAATTTTAAGGGATTTTCTTTCCCATTTATCTATGACACTTTCTTACTCACAGTATTAGTATAATCACTGAGATTATCAGCTATTTCTTACTCACAGTATTAGTGTAATCACTGAGATTATCAGCTATTTCATACTCACAGTATTAGTGTATTCACTGAGATTATCAGCTATTTCTTTGGAAGTGATAACCATAGCCATTGGAAAACCATTGCCTAGAGGCTTCCCTACCACTAAAATGTCTGGAACTACATCTATAAATAGAAAAGAATAAAATTTCAATTAAAAATAACTGTGTCTGCAAGAGTCTAAATTCCACTTTAATTGAAAAATAAGCCAAAAACTAAATAAAAGAGTTGATATCAAACAAATATACAATTCTCACTTGTTATGTAACTATAATTACAAAACTCAGTTACTGTAATAAAAACCTGAGATATGTTATCATGTAAAACTTAACGTGAATCATTGAACCATGAAAAGTTAAGCCAAGGTGACCAATTTCAGAAGTCCATTAAAACTTAAGTTAAGATCAAATGAGACAAAACCCTGTGATCTATTGTTTGAAGAACTTAATTAATGAAAAAGAAAAATGATGCCAAGAAGGTCATATAAACCTACAACACTTCTATATATCAAATACAGTTGACCCTTTATTTTTGGCAACTTAGATACTCACCTCAATACCAACCCTTAATAGGAATCAATGAAACACCAAAAGGAGGTCTAGGTTAGATAAACCCTTCTAGATAGACAGACCTCACTATCTATCAAGAAAACTAAAACCTGTAATAGTTGAAAAATTTATCTGATCACAAAAAATTAAATGTGAACCACTGAACCATGAAATTTGGGTCCATATCAGGAACTCCTGTCTGACTGATATATTTACTGCATACTTAATTTAAAGACCTAATATAAATGACTTATAACCTATAATAACTGATTTTTATTGTATCTTATTAAAACTCAATGTGATTCATTGAACCATTAAAATGAAGTCAAGATTGGGCATCAATGCACTATTAGATAGGATTATATCACATAAAACAAAACTACAGACAAATGTAGTTGATTCATAACTTATACATGAGAAAATTACCTACCGGTAATCATGCAAACCTGTAAAGAATTTTGTCAAGAAAATATGTTGGCACTAGACAGAGTATGTATGATATGAAGCTAAAGTTTTGAATTAGCTAACTTCTTCCTTCTGACATGTCTGATGTATGAAACTTAATGCAACTTCTGAACTCCATCTTCCAAAAACTAGAATATATATCTCACCATCAGTTATAGTTGTTGCAGGAAAGAGAAACTAAAGGCTCTCAAGAGCCTGTGTCGCTCACCTGATTCTACTTTGTTTTTGGAAATCATGTAATAATAGATTAAAATCATAACAGATACAATGTACCCTAATAATGAGTGAGACCAAATTTGGTTTAATATTGGCCCTGTAATTTAATAAAAAATCCTGGTGGCCATCTTGAACAGTAAATAGGCAACAAAGTAGCAACACTTCATCAGCACCTCATAAGAAACATTTATGCCATGTTTGATTTCATTCCATTCAGTGCACCTCTAGAAGAAGCATTTGTATGTATTTCCCACAGGGTCTTATGCTAAAGGAAGTCCCCCGGCTGGTGGCCATCGTGGATGAAGGATAAGCTTTAAAGTAACAACACTTAGTCAGCACCTCATATGGAACATTCATGCCATGTTTGGTGTCAATCCATTCAGTGGTTCTCTAAAAGAAGACATTTGTATGTATTGTCCATAGGGTCCATTGTTAAACATTGTCCCCAGCTGGCGGCCATCTTGGATGATGGATCGGCTTCAAAGTAACAACACTTGGTCAACACTTTATAAGGAACATTCACGCCATGTTTGGTTTCATTCCATACAGTGGTTCTCTAAAAGAAGACATTTGTATGTATTTCCCATAGCGTCCTATGTTAAACTAAGTCCCCCGCTGGCGGCCATCTTGGATAATGGATCAGCTTCAAAGTAACAACACTTGGTCAGCACCTCAAAAGGAACATTCATGCCATGTTAGGTTTCATTCCATTCAGTGGTTCTTTAAAAGAAGACATTTGTATGTATTTCCCATAGGGTCCTATGTTAAACTAAGTCCCCTGTTGGCGGCCAACTTGGATTATGGATTGGCTTCAAAGTAACAACACTTGGTCAGCACCTCATAAGGAACATTCATGCCATGTTTGGTTTCATTCTATTCAGTGGTTCTCTAAAAGAAGACATTTGTAAATATTTCCAATAGGGTCCTATGTTAAACTAAGTCCCCTGCTGGTGGCCATCTTGGATGATGGATCGGCTTCAAAGTAACAACACTTGGTCAGCACTTCATAAGAAACATTCATGCCATGTTTGGTTTCATTCCATTCAGTGATTCTCTAGAAGAAGTTCAAAATGTAAAAAGTTAACGACGACAATGACGACGACGGACGCCAAGTGATGAGAAAAGATCACTTGGCCCTTCGGGCCAGGTGAGCTAAAAAGGTCAGAGTATATTAAACTGTTAAATCTGGTATGTGGTACCTGTTGTGATTGATTCATCAAAGATTCATGACATGGAGATTTTCTACATCAAATTAAAATGACAAACATGATATTGTACAAAGCAATTTTCAAGGGGGTTTTAAAAATAGTGACAAACAATATTCTTATAGATTTTTCTTACTGAAAATTTATTACTAGAATACATTTCATCTGTACAGAAGTTCAAAAGCTTTAACCATGATCTTATAATACATTTCACAAATCAAACTGTAATTTTTACCTTGAGATTGGAAAGCCCAGAAATGATCTCCAGTTCTTCCTAATCCTGTGTTAACCTCATCTATTATGCATAGTCCTCCTGCTTCATGTACAGCTCTGCAAATACATCAAAATAAATATTTTTTACCATTTTTATTACAGTATATAATGATAGATATCTTTCTTTATTTAATGATAGAATTTTTTTTTATTTACTAATGATAGGATATTTTTAGTTTATCTAATTTTGGAAAATAAGATTCATACCCATTTATAAAGCATATAATATATACAAAGTCAAAAAACAATAAAATGTCAAGTTGCATGCGGTATTGTAGTGATATTTAATATGAAAATAAACCAAATTACTGAGATTTCTATAAAAAAAGTAAAGCATCACTTTTAATTTAGTGTATACAAAGGACGAGGTGTGCCACTTGGCCTAGAAAACTGAAGTATCACACAAAGTTATTTTGGTGCAAAGATAATTGATAGGTATGTGCAAAGTTTAAACTGTAGGATCTTTGGAATATTACAAACATTCACAGAGATTTTGCATTCGAAAAAATACAGAATTTCAATTTTTCTACAAAAATTGAAAAACATCTGCATATTTTCACACATATTTTTAAGTATTTGCATGAAAGGTGTTGTTCATATAGAAAATCATTGTGTTAAATGATTTATTTGGTTCTTGCATATGATCTTTATTTGCGGCTCCAAAGACTATCTAATAATTGAACAAAATCTATGTATTTTTCACAAAAACGGGTAGAAGGGCCTGTTGTGACATTATTGATGGCAAGCTACCATTTTTTATTTTATATATTCCCTCAACTTTAAACAGACATAAATGATAAATAAAGAAAATGCTCCGCAGGGCGCAGCTTGATACGACCGCAGAGGTCGAACCCTGAACAGTTGGGGCAAGTATGGACACAACATTCAAGCTTGATACAGCTTTGCATTTGGATTGTGATTAAATATTTGACACAGCATAGGTTTCTGACACAGAATGAATGTGGTCTAAGAACTTAAAAATTTTAAATTGGACATTCACCTATTATGGTCCAATATCCAAAATCTAAATACATGGTTAGATTCAGCATATCAAAGAACCCCAAGAATTCAATTTTTGATGAAATCAAACAAAGTTTAATTTTGGACCCTTTTGACCTCAATGTGGACAAAGTTGATAACGGGGCCCAAAAATCTAAATACATGGTTAGATTCAGCATATCAAAGAACCCCATATATTCAATTTTTGTTGAAATCAAACAAAGTTTAATTTTGGACCCCGATTTGGACCAACTTGAAAACTGGGCCCATAATCAAAAATCTAAATACATGTTTAGATTCAGCATATCAAAGAACCCTAAGAATTCAATTTTTGTTAAAATCAAACTAAGTTTAATTTTGGACCCTTTGGACCTTAATGTAGACCAATTTGAAAACGGAACCAAAAATTAAGAATCTAAATACATGGTTAGATTCGGCATATCAAAGACCTCAATGTCGACCAATTTAAAAACGGGGCCCAAAATCCAAAAACTAAATACACGGTTAGATTCAGCATATTAAAGAACCCCAAGAATTCAAGAATAAAACCCCATTGAAATTGGTCAAGAAATAAGCAATTTATACGAAGTATCTTCTTTTGCACAATACTGTGCAATTAAATATTCTTGCTATTGCGCAATACTGTACAATTGACAAATTCTTGCTATTGCGCAATATTGTACTATTGGATATTTCTTGCTATTGCGCAATACTGTGCAACTGAAGATTTCTTGCTATTGCGCAATACTGTGCAATTGAAGATTCCTTGCTATTGTGCAATACTGTGCAATTGAAAATTTCTTGCTATTGCACAATACTTATTATATAATAATTTACACATCCTGTTTGGTGAGTATCTCCTACCATATCATTATTATTTGCTTTTAAATATAAATCAGAAATAACCAACTTAAAATGGAAAATTTTAAAAGAAAAAAAAAAGAAAAAAAAGAAAAAAAAGGAAAATAAAAAAAATCCCCCCCCCAAATTTTTTGAACCCCCTTATGATTCATCACCCCCAAACTCAATCCCAGCCTTCTCTTTGTGGTATGGTACCTTGCAGTACAATTTCAGAGAGATCCATACACTTGAACACAAGTTATTGTCTGGAAACTAGAAAAATGTGTTTTTTGGCCCCTTTTTGGCCCCAAATCCCTAAACGTTTACGGCAATTACCCCCAAACTCAAACCCAGCTTTCCCTTTGTGATATGGAACCTTGTAGTACAATTTCAGAAAGATCCATACACTTACACACAAGTTATTGTCCTGAAACTAGAAAAATGCTTGTTTTTTGCCCCTTTTTGGCCCCTAATTCCTAAAATATTGAGGCAATTACCCCCATCATCAATCCCAGCCTTCCCTTTGTGGAATGGTACCTTGCAGCACAATTACAGAGAGATCCATACACTTGAACACAAGTTATTGTCTGGAAACTAGAAAAATGCTTATTTTTGGCCCCTTTTTGGCCCCAAATTCCCAAACGTTTCGGCAATTACCCCCAAACTCAATTCCAGCTTTCCCTTTGTGATATGGAACCTTGTAGTACAATTTCAGAAAGATCCATACACTTACACACAAGTTATTGTCCTGAAACTAGAAAAATGCTTGTTTTTTGCCCCTTTTTGGCCCCTAATTCCTAAAATATTGAGGCAATTACCCCCATCATCAATCCCAGCCTTCCCTTTGTGGAATGGTACCTTGCAGCACAATTACAGAGAGATCCATACACTTGAACACAAGTTATTGTCTGGAAACTAGAAAAATGCTTATTTTTGGCCCCTTTTTGGCCCCAAATTCCCAAACGTTTCGGCAATTACCCCCAAACTCAATTCCAGCTTTCCCTTTGTGATATGGAACCTTGTAGTACAATTTCAGAAAGATCCATACACTTACACACAAGTTATTGTCATGAAACTAGAAAAATGCTTGTTTTTTGCCCCTTTTTTGGCCCCTAATTCCTAAAATTGTAAGGCAATTACCCCCAAAATCAATCCCAGCATTCCTTTTATGATATGGAACCTTGTGGTACAATGTCAGAGAGATCCATACACTAACACACAAGTTATGTCTGGAAGTTACAAAAATGCTTATTTTTGGCCCCTAATTCCTTTACTGTAAGTACCATAACCCCCAAAATCAATCCCAACCTTCCTTTTGTGGTATTGAACCTTGTGGTAAAATTTCATAGAGATCCATTCACTTAAACTAAAGTTAGAGTGCGAAAACCAATGTGTCTTCGGACGACGACGACGACGACTACGACGACGACGACACCAACGTCATACCAATATACGACCACAAAAATTTTTTTGCGGTCGTATAAAAACACTTACCTGAAAGTTTGACTTAGAAAGTGAGGAGGATATTCAACAACTCCAGCTGTTACCATCATAGGTTCACACAAAAAAGCGGCTATCTATGAATAAGAAAAGGAATAAGACAATGATGAATTGGTGTGCAAACATTACATGCATATCAGGTCAAAACATATTAATATTACATTGCTTTGTACTAAACCGACACACTGAGATGGATTTTTAACATGCTTGATTACAAGGAACCAGTCAACAGAAAGACATGTCAACCTTAAGAGAGAAGTAGGAAATACCAATTTTCAAGTCAAGGACCAGAACTCCGGAATACAAAATGAAAATGGTCAACATTGAACTTGACATTCATGCATTCAGCCATGAGAAAGAACATATAAAAATTTGAAAAGGATCAGTTGAAAGGTTTTCAATTGCATCCAATAGCTTAGAGCTGCACTCCAGCCAATCAGCCATACTCCCCCAAATTGATAACCATTTTTTTCCATCAGAGAACCTAGTTAAAATGCTTTTGTATCAAGTGAATTGTCTTTAAATTTAAAATGGGTGTTGTTTTGATAGATACATAAATTTCTGTATTTTTCATTTAAACCTTACATAAAAAAGAAAAATAAACTGTTAACACAGAGATATGTCTCGCCTATTTATTATTTTGATAATGCAAATGTTGAAAATAAAATAGCAATACTTTAACATGTAAGTTATGCAAATATTCAAAGTCAATGAACCATGACTGAAGGTACAGGGCTAAACAATCTCCATGGAAATGAGATGTGCCAATGCTAATACAACTGCAAACCAAATACCATTGACTTTTCATAAGTCATTCCCTTTAAACAAACCTAAACACAAACATTAACTTGTAAACTATGTAAAAGTTTCAAAGTCAATGAACCATAATTAGGGGGTGGGGTTATATAATCTCCATGGAAATGAAACTTGCAAATGCCAATACATTTGCATACCGAATATCATTGACTTTACATTATTGGTTCATCTTAAAATGACCTAATAACAAACTGATACATGTGAACTTAGCAAAAGTTTCAAAGTCAATAGACCATGACTGAGGGGGCGAGGCCAAATATTCTCCATGGAAATGAGATGTGCTAATGCTTATACAACTACATACCAATTATCATAGACCTACCACTAATGGTTCCCCTTAAACTGACCTAATCACAAACTAATACATGAAAACTAAGCAAAAGTTTCAAAGTCAATAGACCATGAATGAGGGGGAGAGGCCAAATAATCTCCATGGTTATGAGATGTGCCAATGCTATTACAACTGCATACCAAATATCATTGACCTACCACTAGTGGTTCACCATGAACTAGACCTAATCACAAACGAATACATAGTTCACGCCACCGCAGCCGCCGCTGGAAACAGCATACCTATGTCTCGCTTTTTGACTCCGTCGAGGCGAGACAAAAATTAAGCAGATAACTGTTGCTTATACAGATAGTAAGTTGAGTGACTGATCCTATTTTGATATCTATGTTTTTAGTACTTGATCCAAAACAAGTACACAAAGTACTATTAGATTTGATATCAAATAATATAAAATTTGTTTATTTGATTTACTCAAACATTTATTATGCTTACTTTTCTTTTTTTTTCATGTGCAGATTGTATGATATTTCTGGCTTCATTAGCATACAACAAACCAGGATTGATGGAGTCCTCTCTGTATTTACCTCTGTATGTATCAGGAAATGGTACCTGTCAAAATATATATTCAAATAACACATTTACGCAAGATTTTTGTACCATAAAACACACAAAGACTGAAAAAATAGAGACTAGAAGTCTGAATTTCAAACTTGGATTTAAATTGCCTACAGTGACCAAATGCCTTATTGCAATCATAAATAGCTAAATTATGTCATTAGTAGCTAGATAGGTCTTAAAGAAGATACTACATTCATAACTGCTCTCAAGTTTGGATTTCATCAAACAATTTTCCCATAGCTTTATTATTAAATTGTTGGTATAATTTGTGTACTTATAGTAGAGAAGTGGCTACATATTGTTTTAAAAAGCAGTCATGTTGGTCAATTGTAAGCAAATCTGACATAATTTTCAACATCAATACATGTACCTTCAGGATGAATGTGGCAGGGTTTAGAAATGCTATATTATTCTCCAAATTTCTGGTGGCCAAATTGGGGACATGTTACAGGGGTCAATAGTTATATTTCTGATAGTGCACTATTTGAAGTGAATTTAACCCAAAACTTTTTGTAAGCCCATAAAAAAATATATGTCTGTTTAAAGTTACATCATAAAAAAAAATAGGGTAGGTAGGTCTGTCTTGTCTTGACTTGGTCCAAGTTGTCCCATGGCCAATTTTCCAGTATTTTTAATGATTAGATAATTTCCCTTGGTTATTGGTTGGAAACAAAATGGAAGCAAAGTTTTCAATTTATCTCATGTGTCACAAGTTTCCTTAAAACAGCTATTATATTCACGATTCAGAACATTGGAATGTATCAGGCAATTGATTAAATTTATTTGCAACTCTAACTTCGCTTTTAACTCGAGTTCAGTTAATTTTTCACTATACGAAAAAAATAAAATGGCTTAGGGGCATACGATACAGTAGCAGGGGCAGATAATAACGTTTTCAAAACTTTTCGATTTGTTTTCGCGACGTTGTTAATCAGAACGTTGTTATTTCGCGATGTTTCTAATAAGAACGATTACATTTCGCGACGTCGGAAATCCACTGACGTCATAATCCCAATTGCGCGAATTTGAAAAAAGTACCTGCAATGAAAATCGGCCAAATCACAAGAATTGTTATATTTATTCATAATAAGGAAGTCAACAATATTAACTTCGAATGGGAAAAAAATCAAATCCACATTCTTAATTTTGTATGTCTGTTATTTCATATAGGAAATGAATAAGAGATATGAAAAACATAAGACGTCGATGAGAGAGAAACCCAACTACACAAAAAAAAAAAACCAAAACAATAAGTAATTTATATAATAACTTCACCATTTGGCTCACAAAAAAAACGTAATAAATAATGACAGCGCATCTTTCTGTTCCTGACTTTGAAAAGGTACAATAAAGAGTTTAACGACATTTTTAGAATTTAACCCGTGGAATATATATGTGTATGAAGAAGAACTCTCAGTTAAAATGACACAGTTATAAGCCCCGTATTATAGCCCAAAAACAAAAACACACCCGTTGATGTGCTAAGCATATCCTCTATGTACATATTGAGAGAGAAAAATCGGCACACAGGAATTAGTTATTTGATAGACCAGAGTTGCAACTCATTGATGTTAAGTTACTGAACAATACGAAGTCTTTTTGTAAAGAAGTTTCTCAGATAAGAAACAAAATATTTGTTGGACCGGACAAATAATGTGGTTGCACTCACTCCTAGATTGAAGGTATAATACAGACAAGTAATACAATGATTATATGTACCGTAATAAAAAAAAAAATACCCTGAAGACAAGCTTAGGTAACTTATCTATTGGTACGTATACAGAATCATTAAATTTCATGCTCTTATATCGACTGCTGTATGAAATGTTATACTACACTGTAATGGACTAAGCTGACCCGATTTAATGTGGGTATGATTTTGTGTTCATGTAATGCCTATAGAGTAGGTCGTTAGTTTTCTTGTTTGAATTATTTCACATTTTCATGTCGGGGCTTTTTAAAGCTGACTATACGGTGTGGCTTTTTTTTTCTTTTTTTTTTTGTGTTGAAGGCCGTAGGGTTACCTTTAATAGCGTTTATCTTCGTCATTTGAACTATGGTTGATAGTTGTCTCTTTTGCAATCATACCAAATGTCCTTATTTTTATATCATCCCCCTTATTTTATAACTGTTGCACATTTTGTCATGTCGGGGCCTTTTGAATAATTAAAACTATGTGCAAGCTGTGTTGTCTACATGAATTGTATGACTAATGTCGGACATGCAGAGATGCAAATTAATTTTTTTATTATATATATCTGTTTTGTTTCCGAACATTTCTTTTCTAAAAGTAATTTACTAGAATACTTTTTCTATCCAAGTTTCGTAACAATTCATAAAGGTTTGGCAAATATGATGCTATTTACGAGGAGCAAGCTTTATTAATTTTCATGATTAATATCATTGGTTTAGAAAAAAACACCTTGGCTCTACCACTGAAATTGACAACGTAGTAGTGAACGGCGGGAAAGATTTCACGACGTTGTTGCGAACAAAAAACTTATTCCAACGTAGTTTGGCGCCTTATTGGCAAACGTCCCGTTTGCCAATAAAAATTAAGGTTTATTGCTTTTATTGAAAAAACAAGCACATGGACCCCCAGTTTTTTCTTTTGCAATCAATCAAGTTCTGTTTCAAGAACGCTCCGCCAAAAATTTTAAGAAAAAATCAACGATAGAATTTTTTCTTCACTTCTGTGTAGACGCAAAAATATTTTCAACTTCTTTATTTCACTTGTATTAAAAGAATTTAGGATATAATTATTTATTTCAACCGTTAACTTGTTACAACATGCTGATGCCATGGATCAAGGGAACATTTTACAAAAAACCTGGTTAAATTATGACTGTTGGTTCAAAAGTATTGGTACTTTCCTAAAAAGTCCTTATTTATGAAATTTCAGGGTTTTTCCTTCAAATATGCAAATTTCGAACCAAATTATCCAAAAAAGTAAGTCATGAAGGTATATTTTACTTTGCATATTTCAAAAGTACACATCGAAATTGACCTTCTATCAAAATTTCAAGAAAAAATCAACGAGGGATCTCTACTGTATCGTATGCCCTTAGGGTCAACGCTCAAATTAGGGTCTGTCAGATATTTTTTTGGCATAATTGGATCAGTTTTTTTAAAAGAGCTTTTCACAGAATTTTCAATTTTTCAAATTGCACTTCTTCAAAACTGTTTCATCAACATGTCATTCATTTAAATTGCATGACTTCATACTAACTGATGCCAATGACCCCTTACTTATACTTATAGAATCCATCCATTAATGAATGAACAAGCTTAAACAACATGTTAGGTAGTTTTGGCACCCTTTATTGGGTAAATAAACAATGTTTTAAAAGGCAATAAGTCTACTTTTACAGCACAAAAAAAAAGACTGCTTATAGTGCAACCATATTAAAAGTTGGAGATTTTTTTTATCCTAAGTGGGAGATTTGACCTTCCTGTCCCAAGACTGGTCCTCAGAGGAAGATTTCCATTTATTGAAATATTTGGATCTAGTTCATACCTATGATCCTATGTAGTCTTGATCTAGTTGTATAGTAAGATCTTTTTACTTCATCACTGAAGATCTTTCTGTTAAGATGAAGATTATTTTATATATATAACATATATGTATCTCTTTTGGGCTGTTTATTAAAGTACCTCTGCAGAATGTAAGAAATGGGAATCTTATTGTTTCACAGAATTTGAGGCAGGTGTTGCATGTGAAAGAGGATGATTCTGTAAAAGTATTTAAAATAGTAATTTTAAATTTAAAAGGATTTTAATTTCTTGCTTGACAAATGTTTGATCAGTATGCAAGATTATATTTCCTCAAATTATTGGAATTCCCATGGGTACTATCTACACATAGTAACAGATACTAAACTATAGACTTTTGTAAAATTTAATTGTTATCAGCATCTTATCAAATTTCTAGTAAAAAAGATTTTGTAGTGTTTCTCATCCTACCTTTTATTGTTATGTTGTAGACAGAACTAAAACATTGATAAATTATATAATTAAACTTTGGAAATTTTTTTCATCTTTCAACACCAAGGGCTTCAGGTCCGATATCCTAATTCAATATATTAAAATCTTCTGGCGGTCTGATGTTTTAAAAAATTTACTGGCCTCTCATAAATACTGATGATTTAAATAAAATTTTATGATGAGACTTATTGAATCATGTACAGAGTGTTGTTTCTCATTTCTTTGTATTTTTAGTGTCAGTTTTCAACCAAAAGCTGTGGCTGGATTAGCTGGCTACCTGTAGTAGCAAGCACGTTTTGACCCTGCCTTCCAAATTATGTGCCGTCTTTATTTCCTTATTCAATTTAGTGGTTACCCTGTTGGTAGCTGCACTCTGCAAGTTTTCTATTGTGTGCTTTACTTTTACAACATACTGGCTGGATAGGCAAAGAAACAGGTTTGTTTGCACATTAAACTGGGGTAACCCCACCACATTTTGTGTCTGTACCAAGTCAGACTATCTAGACCATAAGTTGTTCATTTTTATTGTATGTCTATTTTTTCGGAGGAATCAGGTGTTAGTACTAGTGGTTGTTCTGTCTAATTCTTTAAGTAATTCCTGTTATCCTTTTTATTTTCTACTTAATTTTTCAAATAAAAATAAAATATGTTTGAACCTTATAACTAAATATTTTTACATGCTGTAATGACATTACTAAATAGATCATTTAAAAATAATAGGTTATATCGAAAGGATTAAAAACTCATTCTAAGCAACTTGTGTGATTTAAAGGTGATGCAATCCTTAAAAATCTGCCAAGGCACGAGGGACAATCTCTAAAGTAGACAGAAAATAACTTTGAGTGATTTAATATTTAGCATTTTATGTTAAGTCTTTATACATACCACATGTACCCAATCTTTCTTCTCCATCCCTAATTTCTGCCATTTAAATGGACTGAGATCAGCAATCACAGAGACATTACCATGGAAGGCACTAAAAAATAATTCTTATTGTGAACATACTTTGTAACATGAATTTTCCGGTCATTATAGTCATTCTACTCCATTAAGCAATAGAGGCCATTATAAGTTATATGGATAATGGCTTGCAGTAGCATAATGTATAGCGAAGATATAGCACATGGGACTTTTACTGTCAAGTTTTGAATAATTATTATATCATATTAAACAATGAAACAATTTAACAATAATAGTAGACGTGACGTCCTGATAACCCTATGAAATCTTCTGACCCACATCTCATCCATAGGGGTCACGGCTTTAAACCAATCACATTGTCAATAATTTACCCGAGGTGCGATAATGACTGATAGACAGAGTAAATTGAAATTCAATTTATATACTTAGTAATTGTCTCATTGAAGTTTACTCCATCACCTTATATTCATACATATGCTTCGGATGCAAAAAAAATATGAAGTTTTATTTTTATTGTCATGCATAATACATGTACTTCATACAGAAAATACAAGGCATTATAGAATTCAGTTGGTTAATTATAAATTTCACAGTTAGTGATAAAATTATGGACTGAAAAAACAGATTGTAACATGTATCTGGCAGGTGTATAGTTCTTTACTACTTTCCATCTGTTTTAATTCAAATGCTACTTAAAAATTCCTCCTAAGATGTCTGCCAGATCATACTTACTGATCAATAACCATTACATCGTGATGTCCAGTATAGGATCGACACAGCCGAACTGCTAAATCATTGGCCTCAGATCTAAAACATAAATCATACTATACCAACTATACAGTAATCTTTAACATGCTGGTATGTTGGGGGGGGGGGGTCTAATGGGTTCAAATTTCAAAATTACATACCCTTAAGGGCATAGTACGATACAGAAAAGATCTTTCGTTGATAGTCCTTAAAATTTTGACATGAAGTCAATTTTGATATGCACTATAGAAATATGCAAAGAAGCATATATACCTCCATGACTTTTTTTCAGTTTTAAATTTGCAAGTTTCATGTTAAAACACAAAATATCATTTTTTAATACTTATCAGGAAAAAAAAATTTCTGCAAATTTGGAGAGCTTATTTTTAGCAACCTTGCGAAAACAAAATTTGGATGCATTTTAATTTGTGCTTGCTACTGTATCATATGCCTTTAAAATAATAGTTGCCTATCAATTGTCTCAAAAGACATCATATGATAGAAAGATGATGGTTGCAAAGTGATGCCAAAAGATTTTGAAAAAGTATAAGATGGTGAACAAACAATGGTCACCAAGTGATCATGATGGCCTTTTGGTCAAGGTGAACTATAAAAATTATTTTTCTACAGTAACACTTTTTTTTCTATAAAAAAAGAAGTGATATTTAAAGGTCTGAAATAATGATTGAGGAACTTACATCTAAGTGAAATATTGTCAATAGAAATTGGAACCTCTGTTTGATTAATCATAATAAAAGAATTATTACATGTACATCAAAATATACAGTGTGACATTTATCCTCAGATTAAGAAGCTTAGCTGTCACCATAGTTATTATTCAGACATAATACTGTGATATTATTGATTTTAGAAAGTTATTACATCATTATGTTGTTTACCACAAGTTCTCACAAGAAACTGTGAAATATATTTGAAAAGAATGTTACCAAGGAAACACGATCAGATTATCATTGAAATTTGATCTCACTCATTATTACTATGATCTAAAACATACATGTATTTTTTTCTGTGATTATTAAAACAAGATTGCTTCATTGAGACCAGATATTAACCATCCCTGCATTTTCCTTACATTTGTATATTAACCTTTCATGTTCACTTATAAAGTAATAGCTCTAAACCAGAGGCTTCTAAGAGCCTGTATCAGTCCTGTTACACAGTAATCACATGAAGACATCATTTTAACATACAATGTTGATGTCTATTAGTTGTTTGTGTTGTTGGGTTGCTGTGTCACTGATGTATTCACAACATCTTCTTTGATTCATATGTATTTGTATATCAAATAAAATTTTTAATATTTGAATTGTGTATATTGAAGGAGTTATAATAATAACATTTCACCACAATGTTTTTAAATTATATCACTTACAACATTAAGCAGTGGTATAAAGAAAATATCATTTATAACTTACCCAGAGTTTACCATGAAACAAACACATAATTTTTCTGGTAATGTTTCAATCATTCTCTTGGCATATTCAACCGATTTTTCATTTAGGAAACCGGTAGAAGCAACCAGTGTGCCTAACTGGTCCTGGCCAGCCCTTGTCACATGTGGATGACAATGACCTACTGTAAGAGAGAACAAAAGAGTAAATAGTTATTGAATAAAACTGTATCTATATAAATATATAGTAACAACATTATAAATAAACTGTTGACACAAAGACATGTCTTGCCTGTCTGCAAAAAACTCAGAAAAAGACAATCTAATGGAAAGCAACATTGCTAATTAATTTAAAGTTGCTTGGCCATGACCTAGGGGGCAAGGCCTCGAAATAGTCATCAAACTGATATGTACTGATAGTAATGCAACTTTATAGAAAATATCATTGATCTATCAAAAGTAATTCCTATCAAACTGACTTGGTTTTTCCGTTTGAATGGTTTTACACTAGTAGTTTTTGGGGCCCTTTATAGCTTGCTGTTCGGTGTGAGCCAAGGCTCCGTGTTGAAGACCGTACTTTGACCTATAATGGTTTACTTTTATAAATTTTGACTTGGATGGAGAGTTGTCTCATTGGCACTCATACCACATCTTCTTATATCTATTAAAAGCAGAAAACGTAACATTGAAAATTTCTTATTAATTCAAAGTCACTGGACCATGACATTGAAATAGTCGTCAAACTGATAAGTACTGATAGTAATGCAACTTTATGGAAAATATCATTAATCTATCACAAGTAGGTCCATATCAAACTGTCTTAAGCAGACAACGTAACATTGAATATTGCTTATTGATTGAAAGTTGCTAGACTATAACCTAGGGGACAGGGCCTCAAAATAGTCGTCAAACTGATATGTACTGATAGTAATGAAACTTTATTAAAAATATCATTGATCTATCACAAGTAATTCCTATCAAACTGTCTAAAGCAGAAAACTTGACAATTGTTGACGGTACCACTGCTGGAAAAGCAACACCTATGTCTAGCCTTCCGTGACAGGCGAGACAAAAAAACACACATTGTTAACCTAAATTTGTAAATGATCAGCCCTCAAAAGCCTCTACAGGTTCTACATTAACTTTTTTAACAACTTGCCCATCGTGCAAGTCACCATGATATACTACTTGTCTGAAAGAGATAACCACTAGTCCAAATTCTGTATTTTCTTAAGAAATTTTAAACTGCCATTTATGGACATAAAATCAGGTAAATGCAAATAAAAAGGAATGAAATGTAGTAGATTACTGAAAGTGCTGTACCAAGCCAATTGAACCACACAAGTTCGCCGAGCCAGTGACCTTAGATCAAACTCAAAGCAAAATATATATGGTTTAAGTCATAACATATAATTTTGTAGTTTTCTGTTTTTATTTTTTAAAGTCTAATTTTTGAGAACTTATTTGTCTGTCCTAAACAATATTTCTATACAAATTATCCAATCTACACCATCTCCAATACCCTTAAAATGTGTTTCCAGGATTCAATAAATCTCATTCATCTTTTTAACATTTTTATTTTTTTGGGGTCATCAGTCATCTTTCTGTTTTTTATTGTATTTCGCTGAAAAACTCATCCTTGCCACCTTAAATCACAGGGGCTTGGGAATGTTATTTTTAGAACTTTATTGTCTCTCTATCCAATGAAACCCATGGTGAAGAATATAAACAATTTTCCTGGGCCCCTGAGCTTAATCTGGGATCCCACAGAAATCCTTTCCTGAAATAAAACACTGCTGAACGTTGAGAAAGCTCATAAATAAATATCATAGCTGAATACATTTATATATACATGTATATTCTAATCTTCTTTTATTTCACTTTTGTTCAAGGTTTTAAAAATTGACAATATCAAGGAGATTTAGAATTGTTATCATTAATTATTATGTCTCGGGTGGTTTAACTAAAATAGATAGGTTCATCAAAGAATGCATCAAAAACTGAATCGTACTTTATCAAATATTTTAACATTTTTATAGTTAGAAACGCAAAATTTGTTGATATTGTTGGGGCTGATTGACATTATGATGTATTGATTAAAAGAGAATTAATAAAGACTACATTGTAGATTCGGTATTTTTCAGCTTTTTAACTTTTAATTTTTACTTGCCATTCGTACAAGAACACTTCAGCTTTTAGTTGCCTGATGATGACTTTCACTTGTCCCGGGCAATCAGACAGCCGTTAATGTCAGACCCTGCTCTATTATAATGCTTTATCATATGACATTTCTACCATGAGAAAAACTGCTTTTTACATAGTACTGGTATACATGTAAATTTTCTGTGTAATATTATCTGGCATTTGAGTGGATGGACTTACCATAAGAAATACTACCATTACATTATAATACTTTCCATAAGAAATACTGCCATTACGTCATAATACTGGTACAAGTTTTCTATGTTGTCTAACATTTACCATGAGAAATACCACAGATATACATTTAGTACTGCCTATGTTATAGCTTACCATGGGAAATATTACCAATACAATCAAGATACTCATTGCCAGTGTCATCATACATGTACTGTCTGGAAGCTTGAACAATCTTCAAAGGGGAACTTTCAAAATGTAGTTTACATGCTCTTCTGCAATAGATTACCAGGATTATAATGAATATAAGAAGAAGTGGGTTGGGTATCAAATGATGAATCAAATAATCGTAAAATCAAAAAGTCAATGTAAGTTAACCAACATATAGATCTAGAGGATTTATGATCAATATTTCAACTTTAAAAATAGAATGAAAAAGTAAAACTGTGAGCTACTGCTCACTTAAGATGCCCCGGCTTTAAAAATTCATAAACAGGAAGTTGATGAACAATTTAATCTGAAAACAAATCACATGATAAAGCATGTTTACATGAAGCCTGACAACAAATTTCAGAAAGCTCTTATTTGTACATGTAGTTCTTCTTAAAATGTGATGAATATTTCATACATGATCATTAAGTGTTAGAAAGAAAATACAAGTATGCGGTTAACAGGAAGTTGATCTGATTAGCCATAAATCACATGGTAAAGCATGTTCCCATAAATAAGACTGATAATAAATTTCAAGAAGCTCTTATTTGTAGTTCCTAATTAGAAAAATGCAATGAAAATTTCATACATGGCCATTATCATCCATTAAATACCACTGGTAAATACAGCCCAACCTTGCCATTATGTGTTAGAATATATAAGTAATTAATAAAGAGGAAGATGGAGGAATTTGAAAATGCATCACACAATAAAGCATGTTCATTACTGAATAACAAATTTCAGGAAGCGATTATTTGTAGCTAGAAAAATATAATGCAAATTTATATATATATAAGTAATCTGTAAACCGGATGTTGAAGAGCCATGAATCTGAAAATGCATAAAACAGTATAGCATGCTCACATGAAGTCTGATAACAAATTTCAGATCTACACCAACCACCAAAACCCAACTCCTTATAAATAATAAATGTACAAACAAAGATAAACAAAACAAACAACACATGCAATTGGTCTATTTATTTTTTTTACAGAATTTTTGTCAATTTTTAGATCTTAAGTAACAGCGACAACCATCCTTGCCAAATTCTTTGGTGGTTGATTAGGTCACCATCTATTAATTTCATAGTGGATCATTAATCTTTATACCAAAGTTTGGTAGCAATTAGTTTTTGTCGGCCAAATTTTACAATTTTAGTAACAGTGTAGGCAATGATGCAATGTTCAAGGCTGATTTGGTCAACACGTTATTTCTGAAAGAAGATCACAAATATGTATCATTTAACCAAAGTTTGCTAGAAATTGTTTACATGTATTTACAAATTACATGTACATGCTTTTTCAGAGATTAGTTTTATTCAAGGTTTTTAGGCAAATTTCTTTTTTTAGTAATATTAATGGTGTGAATGTCATGCTTGAAAGCAAAGGGATCATCAAAATCAATTCCTTGAGAAGATCATATAATATCATAACTTTATATAGGTTTAGAATTGAAATCACAAAATGTATATAGTTCTATTTTTATCTTCTTCTGATGAATACGAGAGTAGACTCCTAGGTAGGAGTGTAAAACTTCCTGGAACTTGTGTGCTATGTACATGTACATATGGACTTAATTAAAATTAATATAATAAAGAAAAATAGTTTACAATAACGTATATTCATTATGGACAGTGGCTTGGTAGTTTAATAAGTTGTTGTGGGTCCTTCAAATGTTAGAGTGGATATGCCACTTTTGAAGGATTCCAGGGTGTCAGACATACCTATTGCTTCAGGTGGTGAATTCCAATCAGAAATAGTGTGAGGGTAGAATGAAAATTTGCAGAAATCTTTATTGGTTGCTATTTGCCTAAATTTATGTTTCCCCCTAGTACGTCTATCAGATTTTGTTAAATTGTCCTTTGGAACTTCAACTAACCCCCAATTAATTTATATAGCATAGTTAATCTAGCCTGTTTTCTTCTAATTTGTAAACTTTCCCATTCCAAAGAATTTATCAAGTTGGAGACTGCTCCAGCAATGTCAAGGTGTTCTGTCTTTATATTCATTAAAGACAAATCTGGCTGCCATAAGCTGTATCTGCTCGGTATCCGGTCGTTCTGTCCCCAAGTCAATCCGGCCCAAAGTCGATCCGTCCCCAGTCGATCAGGCCCACGTCGATCTGTCCCTACGTTGATCAGGCCCCATAATAAAATATGAATAAACTATATTGACTTTGGAGGATTTTGTGGCAAATTTTAACAGTATAAATGGAATTTGTAAAAAGTATCGTTGATGGATGACAACAGGTAAGTCAGTGAAATATTGGAGTACCAGTCAAAGAATTATTTTACATCGATACGAAAATGAGTGTGATTGTGTCTGTTTGTACAGCAGCTTCAACATATTAATATGAAGTTATTTTCCATGATAACTTTGAATGTCATGGCGATTTTTATTTTATTTAATTCACACACAGAATAGCTAAATAAATATTTACAGTCCAATGGAACCTATAAAATTCAACTCATCATAATGACTTGTTTAATCAAATCATTAGTCTATAATTGGTTTGTTTATTCAACATGTTCAACAATTGTCTAATGATTGTGAACTAAGGTAATGCCACTCGTAATCACTTAATTCAATCAAATCATGATTGATTAAAGTTACGTAATCAACAAGGTCTTTATAGTTTGATCTTTTGTTTGGTCAGTATGTGTTATAATAACTAATTGTATTTTTTTTCAGGTAACATCAGAGGCTTCTATAACACATGTTTTTTTTTGTAATATCGAATAAAGTCAATATATGTACCGTTGTGTATGTAACTATTTGTTATTACACAGGATGAAAGACTTGTAAAGATCACAGTCAATTGAAAGAAAATGCTAATTACTGCTGATTAATGTTGATGTCTGTTGATTGTACTAAATTCTGTTATATACGTTTTTATTATAATAATACCCAATAATCTTGAAAACTTGTAATGAAAACATAATCAACATAGTTGTTTTAAACTCATCCAGGCTAAAGAAAATATTTGTCAAAGGCCAATTTTTTTTTACCATACACCTTTTACATTATAATAAAATTCATAAACATTTATGAATTACAATTAATATATATCTTTATTTTTATTCCTTATAAATATATTTTTTTATTGGGCCAGATCGACTTTAAATATGGGCTGGATCAACGTTGGGCCGGATCGACGTGGGACGGATCGACTTGCGCCGAATCGACTTGGGGCCGGATCGACATGAAAGCATCTGCTCAACCTGAGTGATGTGTTGCTTTTTGTATGGATCCCAGACAGGGAAGAGTATTTGACGACTGGAAGGACAAGTGATGTGTACGTAAGGTTTTTAACCTTACATGTGCAGTTTTTTAAGTTTCTACGAAAAAAAACCTAAGGTTTTATTTGCCTTACAGGTAAGACGACTGGAAGGACAAGTGATGTGTACGTAAGGTTTTTAACCTTACATGTGCAGTTTTTTAAGTTTCTACGAAGAAAAACCAAAGGTTTTATTTGCCTTACAGTTAATATTGTTTATGTGTGTTCCCCAGTCAAGATCATGGCTTATGGTTACGCCTAAATATTTACTGTCTTTTACTGATTCTAAAACATGACTGTGTAATGTATAATCAAAAGCAGAAAGGTTAATTTTTTTTAGAGATATATGTATTATGTAACACTTTTCAGGATTAAAATAAATTTGCCAGTCCTCTTCCCATTGTACTCTTCGCTAGCCAAGGGTTAGAGGAGGGAAGTGGATCGTAACCCTTGGCTAGCGAAGATGCATTGTACTAAACTAGATAAATCTTTTTGAAGTAATTGTGCATCAGAATTATTATTTACATTTCTATACAATAAGCATTCATCTGCAAAAAGTCTTGCATTGCAAGTTACATGTTCTGGTAAGTCATTAATAAATAGCAAAAATATATGATAGTTTATGGAAGATTCAGGTTGTTTAGACTATCATAGATTGTATTAATAGACAATAGACAATATTTATACCATTAAATACCATTAAAATTATGCTTGAGAAGAGGAGATTTAAGGGTTTGTATTTCATTGAAACAAATATCTGTGCCCACGAAACTTCAACAAGTGACGATATAATTTTATCATTACAAGATTTAGAATTCCAATGTACAGGTATATATATATATAGATCAAATCCATTATTTATGTAAGTCACATGTAAGAAACATGTATCACTTACCCCATGTAATTTCTTTTCATTTGAAGAGTTTGTTTGAAAGTCTGTTTTTCCGGCATTTTGAAGAGATACACAATCAAATGCAGTTGCTAATTAATGGCCATTTCGGCAAGATAACCGTTACGGACAAAGACACAGTCAGGATTTTCGTTTGTAAACAAATTAACTGTTCCTGATGTTGTGAAGAATTGTGAACCGGTAACCAGTCTACTGACGTTTCTTTCTAGAAAGAAAAGCAATCGTGAACCTGATTACCTTTTGAATTATGCACAGGTGAATGACCTCAAAAAGAAAGATCAAGAAACGATTCTGAATATCAGATTGTTGTTTAATGATTAAGAGACGCATTGCAAGGTTGTATAAATTATCAGTTAATTTGAAAGGGACTGAACCCGTAACCAGTCTATTAACGTTTCTTTTTGAGCTATGTAAAGGCAGAGACAATTGCATTATATATGTCTCTGGTAAAGGTGAATGACCTCATTCTTTAAATAAAAGATCAAGAAACAAAGAAATGATTATTAATGTAAATGCTGTTTAATGAATGCAGGTTATCACTTAATTTGAAACGGGGTCGGAAGATACCCAAAGAGAGACTAACAAAATCATAATTAATCATGGCAAAAAACAAAAACGACGAAACTTGAGACAAACAAGATAAAACGCTACATAAAAAACTAAAGACAGAGCAACACGAACCCTTATTAAAACAGGGAGTATACCAGGTGCCCCAGAAGGCCGGGTGGCGGCAGATCCGGTTCAAAACACAGGTTTTTTTAGAATGAAGATACCTGAATCTAATGTATGTTTTCTTCTATTGAATGCATATGTGCTTATTCAATATTTAAGACTGTATTGTGTATTCTATTTGTTTGTATTTTTTCAATTTGTATCAATTGCGTTTGAAGGCCTCAATGAAGACATGGACTTTTAAACATTTAAACAATTTTGAAGGCCTCAATGAAGACATGGACTTTTAAACATTTAAACTAAGTCCCAGAGGAAGATTAACATGTTATTGTTAAATGATTTACCTTCGTTAAATTAAGAATTTTATTAGTCCCCTACCATCTGTCTGTCTGTCTGTCTGTCTGTCCGTCCGGCAAATCAGTTTTCTTCGTACTTGAAGATATTGATTAGATATAATTAGTATATAGTTTTATCATGACAAGTTACAGATCAATTTCGAATTTTGTTCCGGTCTGATGATTTTGTGCAGAGTTATGGTCCTTGGACTTAGAAAATTCACTTAAATAATCAATTTTCCACACTTTTTTCGTCATGCTTGAATATATTGACTTGACATTTGTTATATAGTTGATAGGGCGCCGACAAAGGCAACATATGAGTGCAGACATTTGTCTTTGACGGCCAGGAGTTTGAATTCGCCTTTCTAGATCCCTTTCCCCAGCGCTTTTTGCTGAAGCTGGTCAATTGCTTGGTTGGAATATTTCCCATAGACGTTCAGGCGACCACAATTTAATGAACCCGACTTGAGCGGAAGGTTGTTTAACAACATCGTCTTACTGCAGTTCTACTTTCAGATACGCAGACATATGAACGATCATGTAGTAGGAGAAATATATTTCACCTGTTTAATGTTGATCTTCAAGTTGCACAGATTTCTTCAACGGTTATACCATGAAAGGCAAATGAAAATCTATTTCGTGAAATGAAAGAGACGAAGAACCTGAAACTGCTAGTTTTCGCACCCATACTACAAACAAGACAAAAGACGACGAAGAAAGATGTGAAAGTATACCAACTACGGTTCGAAGTCTCTAATAATATGTAATACATTTTTTTTTATTGTAAAAAGTAAAGAAATTTTAGAGTTATCCCTCTTTATATAAGATAGGTGAGTTGACTCTTCTTCCCTATCTAAAAAAGTTTATGTAATTAGGTTATTGGTTCTGATGAATCATTTCTAATCAGTATGAAAGTTGTGTGAAAGGAAAGTAGCTATATCGCAAGGATTTGTATGTCTTTGGGCCTTGTGGTTAGATTTATAAAATAATTTGAAATTGAATTATCTGTGAATACTACCGGACGGTGGTAATTTCTTGAACAAACCGAATGACAGCTTACCAGTAAAGATGCATCTTCTGGAGCACAGCTTTTGTGACCACGGACCTATCTGCAAAAATGTCTGAATACACACGAAACTCCTATAAACGTTCGATAACTGTCAACAAAGTCAATCAGGCCGCATATTTCCGCTATATCTTCCATGCTCAATACAATATTCATAGATCTCGTTTGTGACAATAACATGTTTAACGAATTTGCCAACCTCAACAACCCAACGACGAGATGGAACTAACAATAGCGTCAAAAACTTCAAAAAGCCCATACTCGATAGTTTTAAAATCCTATGCATTACTTGTCGTACTATTATAAAAGGCCAGTACAAAGCACTCAATTCATATCATATAATATTTCTTGCTATTAAAACATACCTGGAGACCATAAATTGGCGTCTCAGCGGAAATCCTAGGGTTCCCTGGATATTTTTTTGCTGTTCTCAAAAAATCAATTATAGCTAGTATTTGATTTCTGTGGAAAACTTTTCTATATCATGAAAGGACCAACAAATGGAGTATGAAACAAGAAAAAAGCCATACCATATCTAACAGTATCTGATCTCTGGCGAAAACTTTCTTTAAACCGTAAAAAATGGCTGAAACTAGGAATAAAACCACATTTTTTAAAAGGAATGTCCCATTTTCGATCTGCCCAATCTCGACAGATTTTTGTTATGATTTTATCAATACCTATTGAAAAATACTTCATTCGGATTATATCAGATTTATTTGACACATTTTTTTCCAAACTTATTGACGTTTTCTCCTCTTTAATATACCAGTGTGGATATCCTATGGATAGAATATATAGAATTATGTAAATAGCACATTATAAATTTGGTGTGTCTGAAAGTGCATTTCTGAATTTACCTTCATCAGGAACGCTCAACCCAAAAATCTGAAGGAAGTCAAGGATGTATAACTACTTGAATAATTGAGGAGCTATAAATATAGACATATGTAGTAGAAACATGTATGTACATGCATCGTTATCGTAATCAACTGAAGGTGTAGATTGAAATCACAGTAACTCACTATCATAATTATAAACTATTGTCTAGAACAATTTTTATGCATATAAACATACCCCATATAACTTCTTTTCATCTGCAGAGTTTGCCTGAAAGTCCGTTTTTCCGGCATTTTGAATAAATTCGCTAGAGAATTTGGTGAACTTATGTACTAATTGCCTGCTTTCGCAGTCACGTTTTTGTTATGTAAACTGTTGTTAATTAGACAGAGTTATTTTCCTTTGTCCATACATGTTAGTTCAGGTAAAGGCTGATGAATGTTGGAACCAAATATGTTTTAGCAATATATTGTTGTATTTTAATGTCATTATTATTACTTTTATCTTCTGGCAATTTCTAGATTTTGAAACACCATCTTACTGAAGAGAAATGTTGTTTTCATTGTACAAGTTAATTCAAATATAAAATGAGAACCCTGTATCATTTCTCTGCAATTTTAGTATTTCAAATATTTAAAATGAAAAAGTATGAAATAGATGTAGTATATATCAATCGAATGTTTTTACTTATGGAATATTGATTTAATGATATACCTACGAATTACATGCATCATTTATGTGTAGCAAGTTGAAAACTTTGAAAAGAAGAAAAATGCCTTCTTTAAAATGTGACTTTAATTGCGAAACTTATAAATGACAAAGAAAAAGCAACACAAACGATATTATTGCTCGGACAATATATTGAATTATGTCAGGAACTGGCTTTCGTTGACTATGTCATATCTAATATAATTTTTTTTCTTCATTTTTTTTAAGTACAAATGCAATTCCCACATTCGAGAATAAGACAGAAACGGTAGAAATATCAACACAAACGAGTTATCGAAACACTATCATTTTAGTTTAAGCAGTATTTATTATTGAAAATCATAACAGCATAAGAGTACAATTTTTAGTTTTAAAAAACTTTTATAAATCCGCCTCCCGTATTATTGCTATAATTTTGTCGTTGATACATTATTCAAAATAAGAACTCGTATTAATTATCGACTTCTGTCAGGTTTACGACATTCGTAGAATCTTCTTTGACTTCCACGTATGACATCTGTGTTGATAATGTTACTCCTTTGTGGCACATATAGCGCCTTTTTGCTACCAATGTGGTTAATTTTACCCATATATGGCTCATATGAAGCATAAATGTCGCTAGTGTAGACCCTGTAAGTGAATAGGGACTGAATTGACTAGTGTTTGGCTCATTTAATGCCTTATGGCGGAGAACCATCGTTGTAGGTACCGGACAAAAGTCTCGCAGTAAGTAATTGTTAGCCCTTTTGTAGCCTAGGTTGTGGATGTTATCAAGAATAAGACTGTAGAATTAGATGAAAGGCGTGTCATGTGCACGGCGTAATGAATTTATGTGTAGTCTATGCACCGCACACTATCAAATATACATGTAGATAGCGTTTTGTTTGGTGTCTTCCCGATTGTCCTACTTTTTGAAATTACAGGTAAAAAAGTAATGAAATTTTGTGGGACAATCGGGAAGATGTGTGTGGGACAATTGGGAAGTTTAAATGTGGGACAATTGGGAATTGTTTTGATAGTGATTAATTTGGTTTTAAAGTGAAAGCGGGTAATTACAGGTAATAAATCAATATAACCCATTATATTTGAAATAAACATGTAGAAAAGAAGGTATTTACATATTAAATTTTTGGTGATATTTTGTTAAACTACTGTTTAAATAAAGAACAATGATATAAAACAAAATATAGATATATTTTAACTTCATATAAGGTTAAATAGACTCTTATATTGTAGATTTAACACATAGTACAAAATTGTTAAATTTAGAAGTATCAAGGATAAAATAAGATTAAATTAAAAGATGTGCTTAAGAGAAATACAAAGAGATAAGAATCATTTTACATTTTACAAAGTTTCAGGGATTTGTTCTAGGCTGATAATAAATATATTCATAAAACAAAGAAATAAATCATATTCCATATAATAAGTCTGATAATAAAATTGTTCAAGTAAGCATTAAATTCAAGCGAACAAAAATGGGGAAAGTTTTTTTTTAATATTAATAAGAAAATCCTTGAATTAGAAAATCATAAACATAAAA